AATTTTACAACGGTTAAGATATTTGGTGACGCGAAATTCAAAAAAAGTCAAAAAAAAACCACTCTATTGGTTCATCTTGTGATTGTACTTTATGGTTTTGCCTTTCAATTATTCAAATATTTGTAACGTTCATTCTCGTTCAGCGAGTGAAGCAATTTGATGTAATTCGTAATTTTGACAGTCGACATATATAATATATAGACATAGACGATATATTGACATTTTATCGGTTTATTGTTTGCGTAAAGAAACCATGTGAATTAACACGAAGTCATGTGTTTGCCAAACTCACGGAGGTAACTCGATTTTACTCTATTTCCTGCATACACACAAACACGCTGAAGCGTACGAGCTAAAATTAAATTGAAGCATACATTGAATCGTTAACGATACAGCGAGTCTAGGGGGAAAGAACGACACAAATTCAAAGATAACATGGAAATATTGCCAATGCCTAACAAAACGTGCAAATGCGTGCAAATACGACAAACGAATGCTAGAAGATGTATGCGTATTTGCCATTCTTATTCGTGCTCAGCAAGCACTGCTCACTACGAACGAGACGAAGCTATATGAAAACAACAATAATAACATAGAGGATCGCTATGCAAATGCTTGAAAATGGACGTGAATACGGCAAATACGTCAAGTCGTTCTTTCCCCCTAGCAGCGATTGAGTGTAATTTTGATACGTTACGTAGGGTTCAAATCGATGGAAAAGGTGTCGGAAGAAAAGGAAGCAACTCATGTACATATTAAATGAAATAAAAAAAACTTTTACCCTTCTTGTGTCAATTCGACTGCAACTCACTTCTTCTGTTTGGTCCTTCTTTTTGTTCTTGACTGACGAAAAATTTGATTCTGGATTGAAATTCGATGTTCATTGTCAGTAAGTATTCGTTTTCAATCCGAATTCGGGTTCGTTAAAATCGATATTTTTCAGGTGACACAATTGCTTTGAACATCGAATCCAAACCGCTATTTTAATTAAATATTTCAACAAAAAAGCCATAAAAATGTCCATAAAATTATTCCATCGATCAGATAGAATAAACCAATGTGTAGTTCAATCTAACACAAATGCTACAAAATATTGGAAAAGCTTAATTCTTCTTAGAAACCGCAAATTTTCGCTTAAACTCAGGAAATTCAATTAGTTCGCTACATGCAACGATTCGAGTGAAATCCTGACGATTTAATCCCAATTGAAAGAAAACTGAAATTTCACAGGAGGTGTTGGGAATTGCGCCAACTTCATATATCCGGTATTAATTTCGAGCAGAAGCGCCGAGCAAAATTCATTACATAAGAAGTTAACCACAAATGTAGAAGCACTTTGTACGAATTTCTAATGCACAGGTAAATAGATGTACAATACTGCCAAAGTAAATAGACTTGAGTGTCAGAAAATTTAGCGATATTATTTGAGTGGCAGCGGAATAATGTTTATTTTCATACAAGTCGAACGAAGGTAATATTCTATCCGTCTGATAAATGTGGAACGTTGACTCAACGTCGTTGAGCTTCTGAGCGCGAAGAAGTTTGTCAATGCCCGTTGAATTTTGTATATAACTCGGTGTGGAGACAATCGCTTGGCTCTGCTCCTTTTACACTCGAAATGATGACGATGATGATGAAACTCTTCGGTAAACAATCATGTAATGGAACAAAGATAAGTTTTCTTCAACGGCATTCGCTGATGAATAAAATATCCGCTACGAATTTGAAATGAGCATTTAATTCGTTATGACTTCAACCGATAATTATTGGTAAAGTTTTGATAGTGAAAGTGCCATTTATGCGGAGAATTCATGTTTTAATTTTTCATTTGGAACAAAGTTTGGTTTTTTTTCTGTATACTTGATACTAATGTCGATTTCCGCATTTGAGTGTCAATCAAAAGCGAAATTCATGATATTTACGTGGCAAAAGTTTTCCAAATACTCTTCTACATTTCTATTGATCTTTAGTTTAATGAATGACAATTGGCTCTAGAAACGTATAATTTTGCCGAATAAATTATGCATTGTTCGTTTTCGGGGAAAAAAAAAGAGTTTTTGCTCTCTATTTTGGTTACAAATTGGTTGGATTTTTATAGTAATCATAACCTTGCTCAATGGCAAATGACAGCTCATACAAACATTCATCACCAAAATCAATTTCATCGAAAAGAATTGGCTACGATTTTCGGTTTGACTACGTTTTGAATGTCGATAAACAAGTTTAGAAAAATCGACAACATTCGAAAGAAAAGTACACATGGCAAAGCTAAAATGATAAATACGGATGCAAGAAGAGCAGAGAGGAAATAAAAAGTCATAAACAGCACTCAACAGATCTCTACATCATTTTGACATCGCTAATGACAAGTTGAACAATTCGTAATAAATTATTTACACTTAAAATAAAAGGCGGCTTCAAACACATGAAGAAAATAAACACAATTCAAATCTTGTTGAGCATCGGTGAAGAGAGCAGCTCACAAAACGCAAACAATATTTCTTCTTCTTTTTCATCGCTTTGCAGCAGCCAAGTACAAAAATTGAAAAATAGAAGTGAACGAAAACGTGAAAAAGAGCAAAAAATGACAGAAGAGCAGCAGAACAGCAGAAAAAAGTATTTGATAATGATGTATATTTCACGGTCTGAATCAACTGAAATGTGATCTGAGCCGTGTTTCATAAACGATGACTGTATCCAACTACATTTTCTTGCATTTACACAGAAAATTGAAATCATTCTAAACATACACACACAGAGAGGGAGAGTGAGAAATTGAAGAACTAATAATGTTTTTGTTTCAATTTTGCAAAACGAACAACAACATCACAACACAATACATATATGAGCAAAATGAATGAAAGAAATACAAACCTAATGCCTATTTCAATACTGATGTAACACATTAGCGCACACCTCGCTGAAACGATGTAAATAGTACATTTTACATTTGGTTGAAAGATGCGCTTCTCATGTACTCGATGTACGATGTACGTTGTATTATTATTTTTCTTTTCCCCCGTGACACTGTATTTGTTCGAAGTTCACTGCGTGCTTTTTCTCAAAATACGCGCGACTGATTTCTCGTTTTTCACTTGCCTATACACATGTGTCAAAAACGTTTGGATATTTCACACACATTCACACACACACACTACATATTCGATGTTTGATATATTCGTTAAAGTACACTGTCGACAGGCGGGCATGAATGTCTCAAGTATGCGGCCACCGATAAAAATGTTCTGTTTATTTTTATTTCCTTCTTTTGTTCAGTGTGTTGTGTTCGGTTTATTCTGCATGCAAAATTGCTCGTTTTTTCTTCGTTCTTTTTTTCTAAATAATAAATTACACGTAATTTTCGACACGTGGTTTTTCGTTGTGTGCTATCGCTCACTGTTGTTATTTTCTGCGTCCGCTCTCACTCTTTCTCTCTCTCTCTCTCTCCCTCTCTCTCTGTGTGTGTGCAATGTTCGATTAAATAAATAGCAATCAACGTTGTTCAAGTACAATGTCAAAATGCGTAGCCAAAATAATGTGCGAGCCTCCCATTAATTTCCATTCATTTCACGTAGTTTCATTCAAATTGTTAACAATTCGCCGATAATTTCAGCAGCAATTTTTCGTATGCGTTTTTTTTATAGCGTAAATTTTTCGTGTAATAGTCGAAAAACCGATAGCAAAGCAATTTTGCTCAATCGTTTGCACGATCTCTCCAAACGGGACGAAGAAGAAAAGTAGCATCAGCAACCTTTAATGAAGATGTGCAATTGCAATTGCAACGTTATTGCTTGCTGCCTTTTCGGCGCAGTTTTAATTATGCAATTAAAAAATGGGAATTTCCTACGAAACCAACAACATCAGCAGCAGTAGCAGCAGTAGCTGAGAGAGCACTGGCATGATAGATCGTTTAACGTTCCGCCCGATTTTCTTTCAATGCGCTAACGTTTCTCCTTCAATTTCTTTTATCTGACCGTAATTACCGTAATAATTCAAATTTTCATGACAATTTCAATTTTTTCCCCTCTGCTCAGATTATTATCAGCAGTTCGATCGATTGGTGTCTGTTGTGGCCCAGCTGTTTGCATTTGCCACGTATTGTGTTGCTCGTTTTTTTTCTCGCTTCAATAAAACAAAAAAGAATCTTTTCTATTGAATACGTCTTTTTTTCCACATTGGCGCAACAAACACATCAAGAACTGCAATAGCAATTAACCTTATTCGAGTTAGTGTCGTCTCTTCGCGCGTACTCTTCTTTTATTTTTATTTTGTTTTGTTTAAATTTATTTCTTTTAATTATTTATTCAATTATTGCAAGAAATTAGATGTTGATTTTAGCACGCCACATTAGCATTCGGCATGGTCATATCGTCTTTCTCTCTCATTTCTCTCTCTGTCTCTCGTAAATATTGTGTAATCTGCACGTTTTCACTAGCTGCATATCGCTGCGTTTGTCCAAAACAATAGAAATACAAATCTATAACACACGAGTCGACTGTTGATAAAAATCAATACTCGAAACACGAAACAAAACGGAATTAAGGAATTTTTGCATTTCAAAACGAAAGCGGATTCTTGCACATTACAATTAATCTTTTTTTTTTGTTATTGTTTTTTTTTCGTTCAATGTTTTGGCTAAATTATGAAATCAGAATTTATAACGAAATTGAAGAAAAAAAACCAAGTCAATTGTTTGTTTTTTCTGCTTGTGTTTTTCAGCAAAATAAATTGTCTGTTTATGCTTGAAAGAAGTCAGTTGAAATGTGATATATTGAGGTTTGGCGCGCGTAGAATCTCGTCTTTTTTTTCTACGTTTCGGTTTTTCGTTCGATTTTGTTGGGGTGCGAGCAGCAGAAGATGAATGTGTGTTTAACCGGCGATTGTATACAACAGACTGAATTCATGTGCTTCACGATACTGGCTGGCTGACTGACACACTGAGACCTATAGCACCGACCGAACATCGAAACATGTACGACGACGACGGCGGCGACGGCGACAACGGCAGTGAAACCATTCGAAATATGAAAACGATAACACAATCAGGCGTATGGGCAACAGAAACAGCAATAGCAGCAGCAGCAGCAGCAGCAGCAGCAGCAGCTATTCTCAGCGTTTCTCTTGGATGGAAAAACTACATGTTTCCGACGACACACAACAACGGTACCAAGGCATTCTCTTTTATTGTATGATACTGTTGCGTGCGCTGTACTTACTATTCAGAACGATGGAAATATTGTTTTCCATCCATACACACAGCCAGCGCACGATTCGCTTGAATCCGTTGAATACAGAGATACGACACACCGTCAAAACACACATTCAACCAGTGAATATAGAAGTGTTGTTGTTGTTTCTTCGGGAGTCTTTTTTTCCTATCCCCACGTTTGCCCATTCGCCTGAGCCTTTTGCTAAGCTCCTTTGTGTATTTTGTCCGTTTTGTCCGTTTTGGGAAAACAAGCGACATCCGTTGCGTGTTTCTGTGTTGAGGCTTGACTTTTGATATTTTTTTTTATTTTTTATTCTGTTCACTGCATTGGCAGCTGCTGTATGTGCTCCGGCAGTGCCGATGATAATGATTATGACACTCCTGAATGGATTCAGTTGTGCAGTTACCAAACTATGTTTGTGTTGAGCATGCAGGCTTTCGCTTTCTCATTCGATTGTCATGTCACATTGATACACGTTGCCGCACAAACTGAAACATGGAACACGTCACTTGTCGTGTCAAATGGCATGTGACTTGTCACAATGGCTCAACAGCTGTTTGAAATTCATTGAAAAAAAAACCGGATGGACTTTGTGGCGGTTCAAAGCATTCAAGACTATTGTTTGAATATTCTTATTTTTGGACGTAATTCGAAGAATCTGGTATGAAATCAACTTATATAAGATATTGTCATGGCGAATAACAATTGACCGAAAATCCAATAAACAACTTGAGTCGAAGTCAAAGCAATTCTTCAGCTGTTGGTTTCCTTACAATTTTAGCCAAAAGCCGCAGTCGTTGAACTTTAGCTAATAAAGACATTTCTTCTTTAGTTCATATTTCCCTGATGATACGTGTATTTTTTCGAACAAACAATGACAACATTCTTAGCCTAAAGTGATTGAAGATGGTTTTAATTTCATTTGGCACTGAAACGTGCACAACGCTGACCAACGATTCGTATTTCTTATGTTTTTTTTCTAATTTTAATCTTTTTTATTTGAGACTTTTTGGCTCGGTACATTTCCGTGGTTCAGAAGGAAAAAAACCGTTCAAGCAGTACGCATTTCAGTGGAAAAAAAACTAACACGCTCCACCGAAAGTATTTTCCGTCGAGCTGAGCTTTTGCGATGGAGTTGCAACAAATTAACCTGATTCATATTGTACTCGACGGTTTGAATGCTCTAGATTTTTTTTTCCTATTGTCGACTTGAGTTTGATGACCTTCTCGTCTAGCATGAAAGATGCAGAAAATTGATCGCTATTCTGTGATTCAAAATGACTATATCATGATTAAATTTTCTGTTTACAAACAAGAAATATGGAAAAATGGGTCTATTTTTAGCTGTGTTCACTCTATTTTCACTCGGATCGCGATTGATATGTTTAAAATTGAATGTGCACACTGAATTTTTAATGATATTGTTTTCGAAAACCAAATCTGAGTTGTAGTGGCAAGATTTGTTATTAAATGGTGTGTGTACAATGTACATCGTTTATGACGAAATGACTTCGTAGCGGCACCAGTCGCTTTGATAAAATATTGAAAATTTATGTTGGAGACCCAAAAGTATCGCACGCGTCGATAACCGATATAATTCTAGAGTTAGTTTTCCGTCGCTCGTCTAATTCACCAAAACACCAGTTAAAGCCGACGTCAAACGCTACATTGTATTTTTGAATTGTTTACGACCTTTGAATGTTTACCCATGGAATATTTCATCGTTATTAAAGCATCCGATTGATTTGAATGCGTAGCTCTTATAAATACGTCCATACCTATTGCACAGCATTCACTCAACAATTGGCAATCAAACAAAGAATATTGGACATAGTAGCCGATCCATTGCCGCAATTTTACTACAAAACAGTGAACTTGAATTCAGTTATACGTTGCAGCCGAAGTGAAGTGGTTGTTTGCAAAAGTGAAATCTTTGCTAGTTTAGAAGCGATTAGACTAAATTGCAGCCATTGAATCTGATTGATAGAAAATGCAGGTAAAATAGTGACTACACTGAAAACATCTACCGCGTCATTTAGTTATTTTTTCGAGCAGACGCTTCCAAACTGTAACTTCGACGTATCGACATATAAAGTAATCTCGTTTACATTTACAGGTTTCCTGTATTGTTTTGCTATTTTTGCTTTCCGTTGCCATGTTCGGGGTGAAAGAAACGGTTTCAATAGAAGAGGAAGAAACCGAAGTGGAATTTCGAACAGGATCACCACAAAGAGCACCACAAGATAAACGATTTATTATCGAACCAGAGGGTCATTTGCTTATGAGAGATCATGAAGGTAAGGAAAAACATTTAAAGATTGAAGCTGATGAAAACAAGTTTTCATTCAAGAGATGTAGTTCAATTTGCGTGATTTTGTGTCATTTTTGTGCATGAATCGTTGTTTTGCTTAGTTTTTTTTTCAAATATAAGTAGATTTCGAGTTACTAAAAAAGACGAAGAAAATTCGAAAATTAAATTCATATCGAAATTTAAAAAAATTCTGATTATTCAGTTGAACATGGGAAAAACCACGTCAACGATATGGAAACCGCAGAAACTCATCATCATCGGCGTCGCATGCGAATCAGTAGAAGATTCGGTGAATATTCATTCAGCAAATAATAAAATAATAAATTGGTAAATGGGCATTAAATTTAATTCTCTTATGTTTTCCTTTTTTTCTCCATTTTTCCGCAGGTTTCCCACCCATCGGTGGTTTTGCCTCATTCGGTGGTGGTGGTGGTGGTGGTTTTCCATTCTTCAATCCATTGCTTGGAATTTTGGGTCTTTTTGGCTGAAGTGCTAGATCTGCAGTGAAGGCTATGTGGGGACACAGCACGAGTGACAAGCAACAAAATTGTAAATGTTAGTGACAAAACATAGTTAAAAGTTTGTAGTTTCGCATAAAAATCTATTTATATTATCCGTAAATAAAATGTAAAAAAATGATGCAAATGAAATGTGTGACGTTTCATTCACAGTCGCCAGTGTAAAATAGTAATTTTTATTGGCATATTAAGCGTTGCGCAAATATTTCGATATAAACCAAACGGAACAGCATTTGCACTGAAGCGCATGCTTCAGACGAAAAACCGGTTTGTCTGATAATGAAACTGTACGAGCGAAGTCATCAGCCGTTTGACTTACTGCAATTTGAATGTAACTCGCCAGCCCATCGTCATTTGATCGATGAAGAGTTCGTAAAAAGGAAACGAATCACATTTTTCGATTACTGCGAATTCAATTTCTGTTTCATTAGCAACGAAGACGACAGAAAAAAATGTGTTGATGTTGTGAATTAAAGGAATTGAGCGGAAGAGCTCCTGCAAAACTCGATGTGCCATGGAAAGTGGTCATTTAATGATATTCATTTGTGATCTCAGCGGTAAGTGAGAGTAATTTTTGATTCAGTGTGAATATTCAACGGCTACACGGACGACGCCGCTCGCACACACATTTTTGTACTGTTGAGTACGCCCAAGATCACTGTCGCTTTCTTTTAGCCCGACGTAATACACCGTTAGTCGACCGTTTAACGGAAATGCACATTGTGCATAAGTTAAAAGTGTAGAAAAAAAACGCAGCGCCTTTCCAAAACACGCGCCAGGCTCGATAATAATAAATTTGCCAATCATTATAATTACAAATTGTTTCATGTTCATGTGTCTTTTGTTGTTGTTTACCGCTTGCTACTCAATGATTCAATATTTCATTTTTTTTAAATGTCTATCAAACCGAGTTGCATATCTATTCGTGAGACGTAAAAGAATGTATGTTTTTTTGTCGATTTATATTTTTGAAACGGAAAGTATGTTTTCTGTTGATTCTATCTGCGTTAAAAGGAAGTATGTTGGCATCCCGTCTAGCCTCCGCGGTTTTTCACGGTTTCCGCGGAACTGAGAAGAGATAACAACTTGGTGTCTTCGGCAAAGTTGTAGTACTCGAGGTCTTCTATAACATTGCTAAAGACAACATCTATCTCTTATCTCATAACAGTTGCGCGCAAATTGCGTACATAAAAAAGCAAATTTTATATAGAACTTTTTTTTCTTATCATTTTTCGCGCTTTTCGTGGAACTGATAAGAGATAATAGATAAATGACTTCAGCAATGTTATAGAAGACCTCAAGTGCTACAACTTTGCCGAAGACACTAAGTTGTTATCTCTTATCAGTTCGCGGAAAACGTGAAAAACCGCAGGGACCCGCTAAAAACGAACATACATTCGTTTAACCATTATTAGTTGCAATGAAACATACTTCTCTTTATCGCTACGAAGTTGGACCAACTTGCGTTCTTTACGTCTCACTAATAGATATGTAATGTACGCTGGTGCCCAAAGCGGCAAATGATAATTATGACAAAGCAATTGGAATCGGATCGTCCGATTGGTACATATGAAAACAGCGACAGAGAATGATGTGTGCGATTTGCGTTCAAGTTCAATATACAAGTTCAAATTGTGTGTATACGTCAATCATGAAATATGTTGCATACATTTTTACACTCTCACTCTTGCGTGCGAGATCCAAATCGAATTAGATGCTAATGATGAATAATAATGTTGTTTGCGGCATTTGCCGCTACTCGCACAACAAAATTACAATTTTTCGTCAAACCGAATCGGATACACAATATTACGACAAACGATCGGTGCTTTTTTTCTCTTCTTCGTGCAATGCAATTTTCTTCGTTCACTTGCTTACGCTTGTCTTCCACACAACATCGGTTTCACACTCACCTCGTGAAATATGCAGACCAATGGATTATTTCATCGACGGGCGCAAACCAGCTAAATGATCGTAAAAGAAAATGCGAACATTTTTGCTGATGGCACAAGACTTGAAAACAAAAGTGAAATTGCTATGGCTTTTCCTCTCTTGCCACAGCGTTGTGGGTTCGATGCTTCTTGATTTGATGGTCACAAACAAATAATCGAAGTATCAGTTTATTTGGTCAAAGCAATTGTCGTAATTGGTTAGCCTCAATTGTATGTTGTATGATGACAAAACTGTCGTTATTAAAATATATTTGTATAATTTTCGAGTTATGTCATTTGTATTAGAATGCTTTGGTTTCCCGTGCGATTTGGAAATTCTATTGCATTTTTTGTCAAAGATTTTGGATAATTTGTTCCCTCTCCGTTGAACAATCGAATGCGAATAATCTCTGGGTGATTAGAAAAAGCGCATAATTTGTGAGTTCAGTCAATGTGGCAACGTCCTCTGAATGTTGTAAACGACATTTTTTTCCAAGGCATTTGATCTGGTTTTTTTTTCACTCTTCAATATCATCTTCTGTCACCAATTATCCCTACTCAATCAAAATCGATTAAATCGAAGACGCTTGATTTGTGCATTTAGATCGTTGGTAAACGAAATCAAATGCTGGAAAAGTGAAAAGGAAAACATGCAGAAAAAAAAAAACAAACCAATCCGCCAAGTTGAATACGTGTTTTGCCACCGTACTCTCAAGACCGGCTAATCAAGATTTCATGTGCGCTTTTTTTCGCTTCTACTCAATGGCTTTCCGTTGACTCTATGGTCGTTCACATTGTTCATTTCTGTATACGTCAGAAAGAGTCAGAACGAAACGAGAGTTGCGTTACACTCGACGCGGACGGGATCTACGGTCCCAATGATATCATTTACAGTTTGTAATAATAATTTTTTTTATATATGGTCATATGCAAGTCACCGACTGGACAACGGCAATCAACGATCGTACATCCACACCATCCTCAAATTGAATCAGATCAGCGTATTTTCGCATATAAAACCGTTCACTGCCATTCAACTGCTGGGCAGTTCATAAAAATCGGCATTAGTTGAAACATCAATTTTCTCTCCCACATTTCGAGACACACAGACACTAGCTGTGAAAGCTTAAACCTGAAGAGTGAACATTTCGAGAGAATAAAAGAAAAGAGGCCCAATTCATTGTTTTGGTGATTTTTTTCTTGTTGTTGATTTAAAAGGACTGTTTGCAATCACAAAATGTACAAGGTGATACAAATTTGCTTGATTTTTGTGTTTTTCCTAATCAGTTTGCTATATGTGATTGTTCATTTTTGTGCTTTCTACAGATTTTCACCATATTTATTGCTGTTATCGTAACATCGTGTCTAGCACAACGGCCGCTTCGATTTCGGAATAAAAGTAAATAAATTCTGTCCTTTTTTCAATTTGGTGGGATTTTTTCAATTCTGAAAAAAACAAACAATAAAAATGAAAAGTGAATGAAAATGACTAGTTGACCATTTTGCAAAGAAAAAGGAGGAACTAAAGTGTCATTTTCTTCTTGTAATATTTGTGTAGGAATTCCATATGAAGACGACGATTACCGTGATAACAATGGGGATTACGATGATGATCGTCCAAATGATTTGAACAATATGCGGCCGTATGATCATCACAATGGCAATCGATTTAATCATGAAATGAATCGGCAAACACAATTCGATGTTGGCGGTGGTCGTGATCCACCAATGGAATATGGTTTCCGAGGCTTTAGCGGTCATCCAGCACGACCATTTCCACATCAACTTCAACCACAAACAGCTCAACAGCCACAACAGCAGCTACAACCACAACAACAACAACAGCAACTACAACCAGTTCAGGCTCAACCAATTGGAGCCGGCTATGACGGACGTGCTGGTCAATTCGGCTACAATCCATACGGACAATACACCTACAATCCATACGGTTGGAATCGTCCTGGCTACTACGGCTGGAATAGACCAGCAAGTGGTGATGCTTGGCGAGGTACTAGCAGCTTTGGACTTGGTTTCCCATTCAATTTGCTCGGATTAGGTGGTGGCGGTAGCAGCGCATATCGACCTTGGTGGAGCGCCACACGCTTTCCCTTTGGACTTTTCTAATACCCATCCAATTGATTTATTGTTGCAATATAAACGCCTGTAGATACAATATTTAACGAAAATAAAATGCGAAATGATGCTCTAATTATAAGAAAAGACATTTTTCTCCTTCTTCTTCTTCTTCTTTTTCTTCTCGCCATCTCAACTTCAAATGAAAAATCAATTCAATTCTCGTGTCGACTTTCTCTTAGTATGCCAACTCTATCGAAGCGTTTGAGCAAACAAACACAGCGATTGCAGCCACTGTCTGCAATATGAGCAACCAAATGTTATTAAATCAATTAAATACAGTCAAACATTAAACAAAAGCAGAGAAAAAAAAATATAAATCGCCAGTGAACACGTTCGTTGAAAAAAAAAATAATTCTCACTTTTTCTTTTTTTTCGTTTTTTTTTCTTCAAATTTATCGTTTTTTTATTCAACAGGTTTCATTTTCATTACAACTCATTACATTATCGATACATTTTGCCTTTACACATTAACAATAGTTTCTTATACACGAAATTTCGTTCTATAAATTAGTTCTCTTAATTTACTTGTGATGTGTTGGTTTTTTGTTTGTTTTATTGCCATTTTACACAATTGAAACAGAAAGAAATGAAAGAAAATCAAAACCGAATCGCTTAGTAAATAATATCGTCATAAGCACGGGGTCCGCCATGGTCTTCGGACGGTCGCCTGAGAATTGAAGGTAAAATTATATTGCAGAAAAAAAATGCGAGAATAATTTAATCTTATTGGATAATTTGGATGATTTCACATATGGTTTTGTTTTCGTTTTCGTTTTATCAAGTCGTTAATTGTGAGAATGATAAATGCATGTATCAACGTGTGATTTGTTTTGGATCAATTCAAAGTTCATCGTTTTTCACATGTTTTTCTTCTCCATCTCCAGCTTCTTCTTTTTCTTCTTTACTCATTTCTTTGTTCAAATCGTGCGCGTGTTCAATCGAATCTCTTTCACTTTCTTCGATATCGATGTGATTAGTCGATTCAGTTTTTATATCGTTCGCATACGGTGGCACTGAATCGATGGTGATTTTTACTTTCTGCGGATGAGATTCAACTGACGACGACGCTGATTCATCGGTATCGACTGAATTCGTCGAATCAGACGATGGTGCGTCATTCGATGCCGTTTGTTTGTCATGTGAAGTGAATGTGACTGTATCTGTATCGGTTTCGCTAAAGATTGTGTTTTCGTGTTCAGTGTCTGGAGGTGCATTATCACTGGTGGGATCTGGGCTTGTTAAAATAATTCGTGCTCCTGACGCCACTCTATTCCATGGAAATATTGGGATTTTGAATCATTTTTGCTTTAAATTTCAATTTTGTTAGCATGTGATTTTAGAATAAAAAAAAGGTAGATTGAGAATAGAGAGCGATAGGGAAAAAAGCGAAGTGTTCCGATGAATCAGCCAACGACGGATCAGACATCGAGGAGCACAGATGAAATTTTTCAGAAAACGGATTGTGAAGTCTTAAAATTTACCTGTCATTGTTGGTTTCATAGTTGGCTTCAACATTCAAGCCTCTTGGCTTTCGGAAATCGCATTGTAATGCAAATGCAGCATCGCCTGGTGTCACCAATTCCGGATCATTTTGCACAATAATCGTATTGGTGAAAACGTTTCCTTCGTGTTTTGTATTGCACTGATCGAATGTAAAACGCATCGACAGATTTCGAATGCCACGATTCTTTTTCGATTGCACAAAGCATGGCGAATTGGCTTGATCATAGAAACTACCTTTGGCATACATGACTCCCATGAAATCCGAATCGGTTTCTAATTTGACAAACATAGAGTTTGAGCCACATTTTAAATGCACATTTTGAATGCCTTGCGTTGACGGTGCAATTTGAAATAAATCACCAACATCTTGTTTCCATATTTCTGCAAAACACAAAACAAAATACAGAGAATTAATTTGATGCAACTGAACTCTCTTAGTCTCTTCAACAACACGCAGCACAAGAGAACACTTTTATGTTTGAAATCACTAGAATGAAGGGGAATATAAAATTGTTCACGGAAAATTATGCTCGCCTTTTTTGAATTTATTTGTTGCGTTGCGACCGCCCGTTCCAAGTCGTTTAGTGCGTCGATTTTGTTTTACTGCGTCAGCGTTGACCAAATGAACGACAAAAAATGTGATTAAACAAATATTCACGACGTATTTGAGCATTTTCTTCTTTTTTATTCTTGCACTATTCTCAAGCACCAAAAATGAACCGTTTGTTAATATAAACGAAGAAAAATGAAAGAAATCTCAAACCAAATATTATGGTTGGGGCCAAACGCAAACTTCGCGATCCAAATTCGACGATCAACTGATTACAAGCGACCGACACAGAGCTCAAATAAATGATTCCCACTCAAGCCAAGATTCCCAAGCAACTGAGCACAATGCGAAAAAAATAAATTGGAATTTGAAGAGAAAAAAAAACTGAAAGAGGAACAAACAACGAACCTGCCGTTTCGTCCATCTTACAAGCAAACGCACACGTCTGTTTTTTCCACTCTTTCCAACCTATTGATTCAAATGGAACGAGAGAAAAAAAACTGCACGCGCCTATACACACAAATACAAACAAATAAACAGACACACACACACACACAGCGGCCAAGACACGAAATGATAGAGAAGTAAAGAGGAAGAATCAAAACTGAAAACAACGCCAAATACATTTACATCAACGCAAGCACTTACACAATAGCATCGAATATCCGAATTTCTGTGAGTCTTTCTTGCGCTGCGAGCGAAGCAGTTGAGTGTAAGCAATGTTTGTTGTATACTTAAGACTGTTTGGCACAACAACTGATTTGATATTGATTGCACGGTTAGTGCTGCTCAAAATGAAAGAAAAAAAGAAATGAAATGCACGGAACGAAAGAGGCAAATAGATTGCAAATCAATGCAGAACATCATTTACCGCTATCATTATTCATTACGTTGTTGTCATTACGGCTGGTTTTTCTTTTCTTTCTTTCATTTCTCTCTTTCTTGAAATGGTGCTGGGTGCATGTGACGGAATTAAGCAATAATTTTTTCATTTAAGATTACCTAATCGCCATCGGTATCGACACCGTCGTTGCACAAAAGCCCATTGGAAGCAAGAAACTCAAACGAGAAACAAACGATCGTTTGTCGATGCGTACACACATAGATTGAATGAAGTTTCGTCTCAATTTCCATATCATTTGTTTGTTTCACTTGATTGTATTCGGTTATCGGTCTTGCCATGATTGCCACGACGACGACGACGACAAATTCAATTGCCATTTATTGACACATTTTGTTTGATTGTTTGTACTTTTTTGCACATAGGCCACAATCACACGGTGCTAAAATTTGCTTAGCAAATGCAATTTATTTATTTTTTGTTTAAGCGCACATCTGAGCATTTTATGAGATTTTGTTTTTTGTTTTTTGTTTTCGTTTGTGAAGAGAGAAACAAAAAATCCATTTGTGATTGCTTTTCTTGCAGTAGGTAGTTAACCTCGACGTCGCCCATTCCGCTAATGCTAAACGTAAACGAAATAGCATAGACGTTGCAACGCATCAAACCAGTAGCTTAACATCCATAAATAAATGAACGAACAAATCACAATGTAATAAAAACAACAGTTGAGCCATTTCATGCACTCACTTTTTCTATATATTTCACGGCACCAAATAAAACAATAAATTTCTGCTGAGCTAGAGTTTTTTTTTCTTCTTCTTTTGTATTTTCGTGTTTTATGTCTGTTTTCGCTAGGCCGCATATTGCGTTTGTGCTTCAAATATAATTGGTTTCGTTCATTTATGTGATCACGCATAATCAGAAGACTACGCTTCTGTTTTTTCCTTAATAATTGATCGCCGTTTCATTTACATTTTACAGCAACCGATAGAGCGAGAGAGCGGAAAAGAGTGAGTGAGAGGGAAGAAAAACGAAAACACTCACCGTGTTGTTAGCAAGCATGTTCATTGCACCTGAACACATTTCCACTGAGCGACGGTCGACGCAAAAAACGTGTTGATCGCGGAATCGAGTGATTTATGAAGCATGTTCCGTGCAAAATAGAATGATCAAAGTTGTAGTCAAGTGCAAAGAAATTAAAAGCCATTGGCAATGGAATGTGTTGTTTGTTTTTCTTGAAAAATTATTGACAGTTGTATTTGCGAAACATCACACGCACACATACACACACAATCGGTGTCAAATCAATAACATTTCATTCTTCAGGCAGTTTTGCTGCCAGCAGAAAGAAAAAGAAGAAGTAAAATTGCGTGTTGTGTGTTTATTTCTTGTTTGCACCCATCAACACAGTCGCGATACTACGCGAACAAAACCACGACGCTCCCGCGCCCAACACACCATAAATCGTGGTACGTATGTGGATCGCTGTTCCGCATGTTGTCGGAACGAACGAACGAACGAAAGAGAAGAAAGTTCAATAACCTGCCGCAAGTTACGACACAATAATACTCTTCTTCTTTTTCGTCTTGTCGCTCTCTGCATTTCATTTTCGTGAACGAATCGTTTCAAGGTTATGGCTGAATTACGACGCTTCATCGTTTTACTGTTACATTTTTTTCTTCTTTCGTTTTCTTTCTTTCAATGCTTGAGAATTTCTTCGCATTTTTTTTCGTTCATAACGAAATGCGAGCAAACAAGTGGGATTCAGAAGATAATGGAAAAGTTTCAAATTTTCAATTTCAACTTTATCTCGATGATGGACATTCGATTTCATTTAACGAGCAATGAGGAAGTCTATAAAACTGCATTTGTCGACGACGCTGTTTTCTTTCGCCAAATCGATTTCTCGATCAAAATCAGGTCTTGAGGCACATACACAAGCGGATGTCAATCCATTACGTAGTGAACTGGCTGGCATCTACGCGAATGATAATCGAGTCTATGCAGCAGCAGCAGCAGCAGCAGCAGCAGCAATTGTGCAACAAGATTCATTTGTGAAATTCCGGCAATATAATGTGGCTAGCGAAAACAAAAGTGCATTGTATTCTCTATCGACGCTTTTCCCATCGCGCTCAACCACATTCACACTCGCTCCGTGCACCGTGTGTGCTTCTGACGTTGAAATGAAAATCAGTAGGTAAAATGGCATGAACTAGTTTTCGAATGCGATTCTGCCATAATTCAATTGAAAATTGTCCGGAAATAATCATGATTTCTGTATTTCATTTGTTTTGTTTTGTTATTTTTTCTTTAGTTTCGCAAGAAAAGTTCACGTGCACTGAGTTCAATGCGAAAGAAAGGTGCTTTGGAACCCAATGCACATGCAATAAAAGTTTCTTTTTCCAATCCATTTTCGGTTAGTGCGTACGATTGAAGGATTTCACATGTTTTACCAATTTCCCTAAGCCAATTAATTATATTGTTTTGCCGTGTTTACCATATATAAGCGCGCTCGCTCTCTCGTTGAAATGAAGTGAAAAACGAAAATCAATTTGAGCCGTATATTTGGGTCGGTGGCTGAGTTCGATTTCATGCATTTATTATCTAATACCTTTGTTTATCGTTCCGCATCGTCGATTTGCATATTTTTTACTCACATTTAATTACACTTGTTCGTTATTTCTTTGATTTGCTTATCGGTATGCAAATACAGCCATTACATAATCTAAATTTGAACTACTTTTATTCCACTTAATCTCATTGTGTCTGGGTCGTTACGGTGTTGTCGGTATTTTTACTCCGAATAATTTCAAACGCAATGAAAAATTGATAAAGAACAATTTTGCAAGGTGACTATGCTTCCATGATTTTGTGGAGCAAAGAGTTTCAAACCTTTTCGTGCTTTTTGACAGATGTACTAAATTGAATGTTTCCCTCTAGTTGGTGATAATAATATCTTCTTGCATGGTTCTGATGAAGATTTTATTTATTGTTTATCCAATTTTATACAAAATCACGTTTTCATTCATAAACCCAATTTAGAAAAGAAAATCACAGTTATTTCGACTTTTTGCATGCACAATGCCTAAAACATGAAATGAAAATATTGTCATCATCAAGTTTAAAACACGGGACGAAATAATAAATCTTGCCGATCAAAACGAAATCAGAGAACACACCCTTTTAACGTCGGCAATGGTATCTGTCAAACTTTACGCTGAGAGTCTAAATACGGGTATATAGGGAGCGTAAAGTTTGACAGATACCATTGCCGACGTTAAAAGCGTGTGTTCTCTGATTTCGTACTGATCGGCAAGATTTATTATTTTTTCACTCTCATGTTTTAGGCATTGTGCATGCAAAAAGTCGGAATAACTGTGTTTTTTTTCTAAATTGGGTTTATGAATGAAAACGTGATTTTGTATAAAATTGGATAAACAATAAATAAAATCTTCATCAGAACCGTGCGAGGAGATATTATTATCACCAACTAGAGGGGAACATTCAATTTAGTACATCTGTCAAAAAGCACGATTCTTTGCTTTAGCAGGTATAAAACTCTTTCAAGATTTAAAAACGTCGTATTTTGGACAGCTGTTTATTGAAAAAAAAAAAGATTCTTTGTACAAGAGAAAGTAAATATTTCGATGGAAGTATGCTCGAATATTATTATATCATCAGAATCATCCATTTCGTGGATACATTTCATGGATGTGTGTTTTGAAGATTCTGCATTTTATTTTCGCCAATCTAAATTCCAATTCTTGCCACAACACACACAAATTAGATCTTCCAAAAGTTGCCAAATAAACTTGGAATTTGGATATTTTCATCCAGTTGATCATCACTATTTTCACATACTTTATGCGTTATCTCTTAAAACTTATAACTCTTATAATACCATAAATGCCGTAAATATTATGATGAAATTACCGCACGAAAATTATCAGCCAGTGCTATGAATGTGTGACAAAATTCAATGAAAAACATTCTATAGAACTAACTAAAAAAACCTTGAATCGGAATAATTCTACTAACCAAATGTGTTAAAGAATAACCTCGATAAACATATAAAAAAAACTGAATGAACCATGAAAATATTTTTTAAATTAAATTAATGATGCTCCATGAAAGATTTTAGACGATATTCAGTCGTTTGGAATAGTTCGTCCGAAAAATCGATTCTGATTTATTACTATCACACATAATTTTGTAGAAAAGGTCACAATTTTTTTGTTGCGGCAACATATTGATTCGATAGAAAATTTCAACAAATCACCGAATTGCAGATATTCCTTTCTTGAAAGTCAGATGTCGAATGTTCCCGATTAAGCAAGATAAGATATAATAATTGTATAAACGCTAGGCTCAAATTGATTCTCAATCATGAATTGTTTGTCACGTGGATTAAATAGGATTATATAAGAAAACAAGTGCAACCAAGAAATTATGATGATTTCATCCAATTATAGTTGGAATAATTATTATAGATCGTATCACTGTTCAAATATAAAAAAGTGAAACAAACATCAGGCAATCAAAAATGAAAAGTTGATAAAAATCTTTCCTAATGGATTATTTCAGCTTTTTTTTCTCATAACTATTCAAATGACTCTAATAAGATAATCTTATCTTGAACAAATTTTGAAAGCGATATGACTCACATCATATAAGAGGAAATTTGGAACACATTTACAAACGGGATTATTTGGGAGTTTTCTATGGTGAGTTGAATGGTTGAACTTCCGCAGATCCCCAGATTGTGAAAATAACCGTCTTCGATAGGTGTAGTGCACATGTCAGCCAGAATACTAATCGCCACTCTGATAAATAGGCCTATTTGGAGTGTAAATTTTAACGAGCAATTACGTTCAACACAAATTATGAATCAATCACTTATTGAAGCTTACATGTGGAGTCAATATGCCAACGACATATGGTGCGAGAAGAGCCGCAATTGATGATACACTATTGGCAATGCCATTTAATGGACCAATGTAGTTTGGACCCAAATCAAATAGATTCAAAATTGTACCAGCGGAGTTGAAACCTTGTCCGGCAATCGATATTGTCAACAGAGTTACAACCAGCAGCTCGTCACATCCAGCATAAGATGCAGCAATGGCAAATATCGATGGAATAAATGAAGCTAAAATAAAGCGAAATTTCAGTGGAATTGTTCTGTTCAAAAGTTATTCAAAGTTGAATACACAAAGCAGCAAATATTTTCCGAATGTTCGTTAAACTGACGCCACGATGCACATACATCCAATCACTGATGAAACCGGAGAATATCGAAACGAAAATATTTGCGATTCGCGGCACAGACGAATAAACAGCATTCTTCTGAATTGGAATGTGTAACACATCATTTAAATATTTTGGTAGATCTGAATTTACAACATAGTACGCCCAGCTGTATAAACCCTATCAAAACGAATTTATAGAGGCAATTATCTAATGAAAGCAAGTTTGATTTTTATTTGAACAAAGCAAAATCAAGACTTACAGAGCACACAAGCAATGCTATCACCGGAGTATTGGTGATAATTGCTTTCCAAGGTGTCGGCGGTACATTTTTACGGTCTGCTTCCAAGTAACCGATCGTTTTATCTTTCAAAAATGATTTTTCCTTGTCTTTTATGAATGGATGTTCATCGGGATGTTCGTAACACAGGAAAGTCTATTATTTAAAGAAAATGTTTTTAAACCAATTTTCCTTCATCACATTTTTACCGCATTAAACAAGCGATTTTTTTTTCAACATGTAGTGAGATTATTTTCAAACCATGGTGTGAAAAAATTCTAATAAAAGTGCAAAATGTTACTAACGAAAAACAAACACCAAACAGCAGTAACAACGCTTAACCCGTAGAATACCATGTCCCATCGGCCGGTTTGATAAATAACAATACCAGCAAGGTATGAAGAAATAAAACTCCCGGCCTACAAAATGTAAATCTCGTTAATCTTCTGTAAAACAGAGACTTGATTCACGAAACTCTCTACCGAAATTCCAATAAAAACCATGGAATTAAATCGACCGCGCTGTTCAATTGGAAACCATGAGATTCCAAAAGAAGATAAGGATGGATGTAAAGGACCTTGTAAAAATCCAACCAAAACGCGCGTTGCGATCAACCCATTAGCTTCACCTGAAAGAAATCGTACATAAATATGTGTAAATAGTGATATAGTTATGCATTACTTACCATGGGCAACAGCAAAAGGTGTCAACGCAACAACAATTGCCGATAAGAAGGTGGTAATCAATAAGACAAGCTTTCCACCATATTTTTGCACCAAAATGCCACCTGGAATCTCACTTAAAATATAACCCAAGAAGAACGATGATAAAATTATGCCTTGCAACTGTTGAGACCACTGAAAACGATTGCTGTTGTCTCCAACCTAAGTTCATTTACGGAAGAGAACGAACGTAAAAAAAAGGTAGAAGTGATGATGTGAAACAATGTCAGTCTTTTTTCATTTGATGAAGTTGTTACGAACCGAACTGGTTGTTTGATTCGGAGATGTCGATTCGTCTTTAATTGGACAGATCTGTTGACCGTTCGGATCAGCTGTTCCATTATTTGCATTCGCATTCGCGTTTGGAATGTAAACCATCTGTGTCAATACAAGCGAAAAGCTGATGCGAATGGCAAATGTTACGCCGAGGGCAAGAAACATCATCGTCGCCAGAACAAACCTCTGTTGCACTGAAATTTGTGTACATAATAAAAATTATTGAAATTAATTTGTTCAAATTGAATTCTACTTATAATTACCCATTTTGTCGGAGCTGTTGTTTCGATGTTCACGTCATGAATGTTAGACATCAAATGAGCTTTTTATTAGGAAGTGTTTTCTTTGTCTGTCATAATTTAAGTGTCAATAACCAAATTTACGGCTTCGTTATCGAAACACAAACGAGATAAAATGGAATATAAATGAAAGTAAAAACAAGTAATGCGTGAGACAACTGTATCAGTTATAGCAATGTTCAAATTTTATTATCGTTTTTAGTTTTAGTTTCACAAACTCGCCTGATGATGGTAGTATGTTTACCGAGAACGTTCGCAAATAAATATTATTATTTATTTTAAATGTAAGTCTCAATCACGACTGGCTTTAAACGGGACTCACGAATGAAAGTGAAAACCAGAGCGTGTTATGAGCTGACATCAGCAGCACTAACTGACGTCAGCTGCTGATATTAGCTGCTGACGAGTATGCGTTGCTTTGTTTTAACGCATTTGCAGTACAAAATTCGTATTTCTTTCTGGGTGCCAAGTCAAAATTGAAATGAAACTTGACTTGGCACCCAGAAAGGAATACGAATTTTGTACTGCAAATGCGTTAAAACAAGGCAACGCATACTCGTCAGCAGCTAATATCAGCAGCTGACGTTAGTTAGTGCTGCTGATGTCAGCTCATAACACGCTCTGGTAAAAACAAACGGAAAGTTTCTTAGTAAAATATTCACAGTCTGTTGTTTAAAAAATAAAAATCATACCTCGGAACGTATTACTTCGCAGTGATCATTTATTGAGACACTTTAACGTTTTTCTTCACTCAAGGTACAATAGGATTAGTTTAAATATTGAAACATGATAGAGAAAAAGAGTCTATAAAAAAGCGTTTGTGTAAAATATTTTATTCTTGTATACGATTACATTCACAACGTCCAATGGAAGATGACCTTATTTAAACGAATAAAATTTGATCTAATAAACCACACAATGATATAAAAAAACCTTTCCGAATAGCTTAGTTTCTTTCTTTCTTTCAGCCAAAATCACTCAATCCATAGTTCCATAGATGTGTAGTTGTGTTGTGAAATAACATAACCACACATGAACCCATTTACAAATGTTATTATTTTGGATTGAATTTCGGTGAATTGAACAATTGCACTTCTCCAGACCCCCAAATAGTAAAAATAATCGACTCCGATGAATGTAGCGCGAAAGTAATCCAAAACACCATACGCCATTCGGATAACAAAGCCTGTTGATTGTAGATAAACAAACCGTTTAAAACATAGTTTTGAAATAATTTTAAATGTGCCACTTACGTTCGGTGTTAGAAGTCCGGCGATGTAAGGAGCAGACATGCCGACAACCGTAGCCAGACTATTGATTACAGCGTTTAGTGGTGCCACGTAGTTTGGACTTAAATCAAAAAGATTTATGGCGGCGCCGGCTGAATTGAATCCATGTGCGGCAATTGAAACGGATAATAGAATTACAGCGAGTATTTCATGACAGCCGGCATAAGAGGCAAACATCAAAAACGTTGCAGGTACAACTGAAGCTATGAAAAGTATTCAAAAAATGATTTTGTTTGTAAAGAAGATACGATTTAAATGCCGCATAAAATAAATCAAGTTCAAGTACACTCACTCAATACAACGAAAATTTTTTGAACTCTAGTACGTTTAACGTGCCACATTGACATCATTAGATCGCTGAGAAAACCGGAACCGGTAGATACAAGTATGCTTAAAATCTTCGGCACCGATGAATACACTGCATTGTTTTCAATAGACACATGAAGTACGTCATTCAAATATTTCGGTAGGTCTGTGTTTATAATGTAGAATGACCATGAGTACAAAGCCTGTTCACAAATTCGATTGAGTCAGTATTTTGAAAATTCTTTCGATTGAAAAGATCTGTATTAAATTACGGTAGATAGAATAAGTGCCAAGACTGGAGAACTTTTAAGAATGGATAACCATGGTGTGGACGGCAACTCTTTTCGTTCATTCTCGTAATCGTCGATTTTTTGCTGTAAATATTCTTTTTCATCGTCACATATGAATGGGTTGTCTTTTGGAAGTTCGTAACAGATGAATGCCTAACGATATTTTATCGTGGAATTAACACAATGCAACAAAGCACCAAGCAGATAGTAAAACTCACAAATGAAATCCCTAGAAGCACCAGAATAGCGGAAAAAAAATAGAAGACAACATCCCATCGTTCCAGATGATGCATCAATAGCCCGGAAATAAAAGTAGAGAAAGCTCCACCGGCCTTGAAATGAAAGAAATGTGTTACGTTAACTTATAGCGGCAATCATTTTCAAACTTCTGAATAGTATTTGTTTCAGATGGCTTGTCAATGATGAACGTACCGAAATGCCAATGTAACCAATTGACAATAATCTCCCACGCTGTTCGATGGGATACCATGGGACAACGAATGCTGCAAGGCATGGAAATGTTGGCCCTTGAACAAAGCCCAGAATCACACGAGTTGCAATCAATCCATTGGAATCACCTAAAATATTTCAGATTATTTGTTTGAGTTATTTAATTAGTTAGCTAATTAGCAAAATCAATTTGCACCATATTGAACCGCTGAGGGTGTTAATACTGTAACTAATGCTGATAATGCAATTGAAATCAAGAGCGTAAGTTTCGATCCCACTCGTTGAACTATTATAGCACCGGGGATTTCAGAAAGAATGGTGCCCCAATAAAACTGAAAAAAAATTGAATTTTTAATATTTATATATTCTTAACTATGAACATATGACTCAACTGATGATAACATCATTCCTTGCAATTTCTGCGACCAGTAATAACGATCACTGTCGGGAATCTAGTGAAAAGGAACGCAATTCATTTGTTAACAGAAAATATAGAAGAATTGATGACTTTTGAAGATAAAATTACCGGAACTGATTGACTTGAATTTGACTCGTGACTGGTGCCATTTTCAATCATATGATGCTCAATCCGGCAAATTAATTCCGTATTTGTTGATTGGTTTGTTTCTGTATTTGAAACGATATTCGGCACATAAACCATTTGAGTGAGAACGATGGGAAAACTCATTCGTAGGGCAAACACAGTTGCCATTACAAAGAATACCATCACAACGACGACATATCGCTGTTTAACTGCAATTTTTTGACCGAATATGACAAAAACTTTTTGTGAAAATTAGAAAAAAATTTGGAAAAAAATTTACCTTTAAACAGGAACTTCATGTTTGTTCTTCTAAACGGTGAAACTCTAACTAAACAATGCAATCAATGCATTCGTTCAATATTTCGCTACAAATTACCATATAAAATTGTATTAATTATTTCATTAGGAAACGTGAGCTGTGAAACCAGAAATGATTGAATATACGATAGAGGCTGCGAAGAAATTCGAACGAAAAAAGAATACGTGAGTTTAGCGAGAATTTTCAGACTAACACTTTTTTTCCACAATCACATCACTCATTTCAAACTTTGAACGGATGTCGAAATTCTCTTATGAACCGAAGATTCCCGTTTCACTCGATATATTACAGTTCTCTTTCATTGCGAGTGCTATGGCTAAATGATGATAAGATAATCAAGGTCATTATCACTTACATTTTTTTTAAACAATGCGTACAACAAATGTATATCATCACAAATTTCACAAAAGTCAAGCGGTTATGGCTTACACACAATTCACACCAAAGAACAATTACACAGCTAATTGTATATCGTTTACAAAACAATAATCTTATACCCGATATAAGTCGACAGAAGAGCAAATGTTCTGACACGATACTGGCAAATGATATGGAATCAAACTTAGAACTTCATTGAACATTTATACTTTTTCACCGAATGAATCTATTTTGCAAGTGTCTTATTAATTCGCCGTATGATAAGTATCTGAAACTTTTCTATTTAAAGGACGATCAAGTCATACATTAATGCTGTCGTTAATTATGACGTTAATTTCAGTGAAAAATATATGAATGATCGTTAAATGGAAATAAATTAAAAATGATTTTATCTATTGCACTGTTAAGCGTGTGGCTTTTTTTTTGGTTGTAGTGAACTTAATTGCATACATTGCGGCGTTTTGGATAATTTACCTGTTCCACATATGAATTTAGAGACCCTGCGAATAATCAGCGGTACGTTTTTCACTGTAAACAATTGATTTCAGGTGGGGAGTCGAAAATGAATGTTAGTTAAGGAATCGCATCTTGCTCTCTCTCTCTCTCTCTCTCGCTCTCGCTCTCTCTTACCTATAGCAACTTCAATCATTCAATCGAATTGGTTGAAAATGCGTTTGACGTTTCGATAATCAAATATTTATCCATATTCCAACTTGATATTCATACAATTCTGGTTAATGCATTTCTGCAATATGAACTTGATACAATATCAGCATAGCCATGACCCACTTCCATAACAGCATGCTAAATATCTTATTTTATGCATCCATTTGATTCCATTACCCAAACAATGTTCAATTCTTACTGAATATTTATCGAAAACTTTGGAGAATAAATGCAATAACCGTTGGAGTCTGTCAGCCTATTGGGCGCCACGTTTTTTCCCCGATTGCTTGGCGTCGACGTTTCACTTCGACTGTACTTTCAAACCGTCCGAGCACACTAACTGTCACCAAATGTACCATGTCCTCATCCCATACCCTTCAGGTATTTTATACCTCAATAAAAAGGTATATAACTCAGTTTATACGGAAATAATAATGGACGCATATTACTATGGCTACGAAGTACAACTCTTAACCAATTCATGCACAGATAGCGATGGTCGTGGCTTCGCTTCATTTTGAATTATACGACAAGATGTACCGTAGTGCTGGAAGTAAATCAAAGAAAGAGAATTCTATCTATAGGAATTCAGCCGAAATATTTCATAAAAACAGACTAAATTGAATCAAAAACTAAATGAATAAATGAATACACATACCTACATGAATACTGTAATACATAAAGTTCTTTCTGTAACATATCTCTATTCCCATTTTTATACTCAACGACACCTGCACATACCAATGCTGACGTATGCAGCTTTACTGGTGTGCATGTTTCATTTTAAGTGAACATTTTATTTGGGTAAACACAAAAACGATTCTTATCAACCTACAATTTCAATTAACTAGCAAAGAAAATCAATAAGACGATTTCGAGAATTATTCCACACTAATAATGTTAGTGCAGGCAAAATCTGTCAATTAGTTTCTAAAAGAGTGCATTTTATAACACACTATTCTTTCCGTTACAAAACCATTTTCAAACGCATTATGACCACCCTTATCAATTTTCTTATGCGACTTGTCATCGTGGCTGCCATTCATTTTAGTTGACCAAGAAATTTTTACATTATACTTCGCTTCCGGTGTGAATAATGGAAAATGTTCCACGTTCAGTGTGAAATTGCGTGCTTCATAAACTTTCTACAAAATGAAAAATAAATCGAACGATTCCATTTCATTTCAAAAATACTGAGAAAAAAGCACCCAATTGAAAGCACTCACTTTTTGTACTGGACACTTTTGCATCCAAAGACCGGCTTTAGACAATTCACCGTGCACCAACAACATTAGAAATTCATTGGTCGGTTTGTCCATAAACGAGCAATAATCGTACGTTTTATGGGGGAAAAAAATTGATAATTCTTTCCGTGCGTTGTTGTGAGGTCAAAATTAAGCGTACGCAACACTGTTTCCAACGCTGTGAACATATTTAGTAAAAACGAAAACCGCGATGGATTCTGATAGATTGTTATATTAAATGAATTGTATTTCGGATTCACATGCATTGAATAGTTTGAGAAAATGTTGCTAAAAGAACGCTGAAAATGCAAAAATTATCATTAAGTTGATTTCTCTGAATTTATGGAATTTTTAAGGATTTTTTTGTGCTAAGATGATGAAAAAAAATTGTTTCTTCAAATAAATAAACTTAAAAAATAAATAAATTTTTAAATCAAACTAAATGTGAGCTTTACTTACACCACAATCATTATAATTACAGTCGATAAGGACTAATGCTATAATACAAGCTTTGGATATTCGAAGAAACATATTCTAAATAATAATCGTGTTTGTAAAGTGTTCATGAAATGCCATAGCCGTCGAGGTAAGCAGCTATCATACAAAGTCATAACTAAATAGAATAAGCATCAAAAAGCAACCATTAGTTTTACGTGCATTGAGTTGAAATTTCAGCGAAACGAACTCTAATTGCTAAGCATATTTTGATTCAATTGAATCTGTTTACGATTTAGAGAAAGTATATTTAAATTTGTTTGATTTGTTTTTGATATCATTATTTTGGTTAATTGTGCAGAAAAAAACTTATGAAATCCAAACGAATCTAAGCGACGACTGTACCAATTTCGAAACAATTTACTTCACATTTTCGTTCTATTTCACGCTAACACTTTCAAATGCACAGTGATTACTGAAAGAACTATGACATATAAATATAAACATAGAAATTTGTTGTTTATGTTTACACTATATGCCATGCCTTCAAGCTGAATTACGAACAGTGTATAAACTGTAAAGTCATGTAACTGGGAGCGACGACACTTTCCAGTAAAAAAAAAATATATTGAGCAGTGTACATTTTGCCATCTCATTCTGAATAGACAAGTTCAATGCAACGATTTAACCAAATTTCATACTCATCTCTTGTCATTAAACTTGACTCAGACTTGAAAAAAATGTAGATGAAGTCTGTGAACGTGTTCTATGCATATGAATGCATACTTGAGAGAATCCCTTAATGAGATTATGATCTTATGAGATCCATGAATTATTCACCCATTCATTTACAACACCAAATTGGGGTTTTATTAATTCTATTACGCATGGATAGCCCGGAGTCGAAGAAATAACCTATCGTTGCGTGTTGTGTATGAAACATAATGTGATGATAAAATTATCATATTTAGGAGATTGTATTATAGTCTCTTGAGTTGAGGGCGAATCAATAAAACTTTAACGATTCAGCTGCATTAAATCCAGGTCGACTCCAGTTCGGTTTTGTCGCATGAAACACAAGAATAATTTGATCTGGGTGTGTAGTATCAGATACAATGATAGTGTTCATTAGCATATATAGTTACATGTGCTCGAAATGAGCTAAAAAAAGTGTGAACACCACAAAAGTGGATGTTTAGTCGAAAATATAAAGTTTAAGGTCTTGTGTAATATAAAATGTGCATTTTGACTTCTCACTTTGAGCAGACAACTTGAATGAAACTATTCAACCAAAAAGAAAGATGAGTGTAATCTCTTGGAGTTAAACTTGACTCAAAATTGAAAAACAAATCATTTAGAATGTTTTGCATTTTGTATGCTGTTATATCCGTGAACTACTAACATTGAGAATTCATTTGGCTTCATATTGAATTTTAAAACGACTACTTAGTGCTTACTCAGTTGTTGTCATACACTTGTCTTGACTGAAATGCACAGTTGAAATGCTACAGCGATCAAGTACAGTTCACATTGAAACACTTACGCGACTGGACGCTTATTGTTATAGCGTTGCAATTAATTCGACAGTGTTTTCTTAAAGTTAGAATCAAAGATTAAATCACTAGAGATCAAAAATGAGCGTGAATTTGATATTTTTCGTGTTTTTCGCATTAGTTTGTTCAGAAAAATGGATCAGTGCATTTGATTATAAAATACATGACACTGGGACATTCGACCATATGGATTTTATTATCATAGGAGCTGGAACAGGTTGATCGTGAACGAAATCTATAAAAAATGTTGTGATATTAAATGTGATATAATTTGTAGGTGGTTGCGTGATGGCCAATAGGCTGAGTGAAAATCCCAAATGGAAAGTGTTGCTATTGGAAGTTGGTGACGAAGAATCGGATCTCTTAAATTCCATCCCATTAACAAGTGCCATTTCATTGGCCACAAGTATACTTCTTTCTGGCATTTTTTTATTCACATAATTCGTTTTAAAATAGAATTGATATCGTTTAAGAATACAATTGGGGATATCAAACTGAACGAGCGAAAAAAGCGTGTCTACACTTGATTGATGGCGTGTGTCATTGGCCGAAAGGAAGAGCTCTTGGAGGAACTAGTGTTATAAATTTAATGGTTTTCAATCGAGGCCATCGCGATGACTTCGATGGTTGGGCTCGAGCTGGAAACGATGGATGGAGCTACGACGAAGTGCTACCATATTTCAAGAAATTCGAACGAATTGGAATCGAAGAATTGAAGTCGTCAAAATATCGTGGAACAGAGGGAAACGTTGACATTCAGCATCCCGCCTATCGAAGCAAATTGCTAGACTTATTCCTACAGGCGGGAAAAGATTTGGGATACAAAGTGAATGATCCAAATGGCAAGGATATGTTGGGTTTTTCACAAGTTCAAACATTTACCCGGAATGGAAAACGTTTATCAGCAGCCAAAGCTTACATAACACCTATCAAAAAACGAGAAAATCTCTTCGTATCGATGCGCAGTTGGGTGACTCGAATTCTTATTGATCCGGAAACAAAAGTAGCCTATGGTGTTGAATTTGTCAAAAATCGACAGCGATATCGAGTTAATGCCACTAAAGAAGTGATATTATCGGCGGGAGTTATCGCATCACCTCAACTTCTGATGCTGTCTGGCATTGGACCAGCAGAACACTTACAGAAACATCAAATACCCGTCGTTCAAAATTTGAATGTTGGATACAACCTACAAGATCATGTCGGTTTAATTGGACTAGCATTTCTTGTTAATGATTCGGTGACAATAAGCGAAACAAGTGTAGAGGGATTAACGGCTCCATACAGATACTTCGTTTATGGAGATGGACCGTTTACTCTACCTGGCGCTGAAGGCTTGGCATTTGTTAAGACACCAAACTCCACCTTAGGTTTTTTCCCCTAAAGTCATCATGAAAATCAATATAAATTTGTTGATGTAAGAAAATAATTGAAATCAATTTGTTGCAGCTAAAGATTATCCCGACATTGAACTTGTGTTTGCGCCTGGAGCTTTGAATGGATATTTAAATGGAGCAGCATCCAGGGTTATGGGGCTATCAAGCGAATTCGTGGATGCTGTTTATGGTGATATCAAGGGTGCAAGTGCATTTAGTCTAGTGCCCATATTAATGCGACCGAAAAGTCGAGGTAGAATCAGTTTGAAAAGCACAAACCCATTTCAATGGCCCAAATGGAACCGAATTACTTTGAGCATCCCGATGATCTCAAGACTCTTGTTTCCGGAGCGAAATTGGTGAGATTTTTTTCAGTGTAACTTTCTTTGAAATGAAATGATGGAAAACCAATTTTGTTAGGCACACAAATTGGGCGAATCTACAAGCTTTCAGCGATACAACAGCAAACTGAATCCACGGCCATTTTTGGGCTGTAAAAAGCATGCATTTGGTTCAAGATTGTATTGGAAATGCTGCATCCAGGTTTTCTTAAACAATTTTATGTGACACTTGGATATATTTATTTACTAGTAAAAGCATTTTTTTTTATCATTTTTAGGGCTACACAAGCTCAATACAACACCAAGTAAATTCAACTCCCTAAACAGATCTGACACTCTGACATTCAAGGAAGAAAATGACTGATAAAATTCTCCATTCATAGGTTGGTACATGTAAAATGGGCCCTTCAACAGATACGGGAGCCGTTGTGAATTCAAAGTTACAAGTGCATGGTGTGGGTCATTTAAGAGTCGTCGATGCCTCAATCAGTAAGTCAGAGTTCGAGCAAATAAGTTGAATGAAAAAAAAAACTGCAAGTCAAACGATTAATTTCAGTGCCAGACATTCCGGCGGCGCATACGAACGCTGCTACGTTTATGGTTGGTGAAAAGGCTGCCGATATGGTTAAAGAAACCTGGTCTTAATCGACATTATTCAAACCATTGTAAACAATGATTTGCATTTCACATTCAACAAAAAATGAAATGTTTTTTTTATTTATTTCAAATAAATCATTTTTCAATACAAATAAATACTCAATTGATAATAATAGTTCAGATTTGAATATTCATACGATGTTTAGCAATGATTTAGAATTTTTCTGACGTTTTGCTTTCTTTCCGATTGCTTGGCGCCTTCTTTTTATTTCGTTTGAGCTCTCGAATCGACCAAGCACTGTGATACCTGCCAAAGGAACAATGTCTTCATTCCTCAACGTTGTCGTCCATGTGATCGTTACATTATATCGAGCTTCTGGAGTGAATAATGGAAAACTCTCCACGTTCAGTGTGAAATTATTTGCTATATAAACTTTCTGAAGAAAAAAGCTTGAAATTAACACGACGATGACCTTCGATAAAGTCATAGCAAATCAAGTTCAATTTGAAATACATGCTTGACTACTTAGCAAATATATTGTAATGACCAAAATTGCATGTAAAGACGCTACAAAATAATTAGACATGTCAACATTTGTGTTGTTGAATACATCTTGACCACGTTGACTCATGCACGAGGGGAAAATCACTCTACAAATTACTTCCATACTACTTCAAAATTACTTTCTATTACCTAGTCTATTTAGTAGCCAGATTACAAATTACTTTTTACCATTTCTGTATGACAATGACATTGAACTAACATATTTTTTCAATGCACCGATATATTAGGATGTGACAGCTATACTAGAAATTACTTTTTTTATACTAAAAGTAATTTGTTGTTTAAAAATTACTTACATATTATGTTCATTCTTCTACTTTATTAGAAATTACTTTTTAGTGATTTGCCCCTCGCTCATGCATATTATTATTTCAGACGGACGTACGGTCAAGTTTATTCAAGTTGTTCAAGCAAAATTCGTTTTCGCGTATAAATTTAACTTGATGACATCAATGTCCAATTATGCATACCTTTTCGACGGGACATTTTTGCATCCAGTGTCCGGCTTTCGACAATTCTCCCTGAACCAGCAACATTAAGAAATCATTGGTTGGTTTATCCATAAACGAGCAATAATCGTATATTTTGTCGAAGAAACTTTGATAGTTTTTGCCGTGCGCTGTGGTAAGTCCAAAGTTCAGAGAACAATAAATCGCATGAATTGATTTAAAAAGTTTGAAGAATATCGAGATATGTGATCGATCCGTCTCAATGGTCATATTAACATGAAGAAATTTCTCATTGTAATTGAGCGTATAGTTGGTGAAAATATTTCGAATTGAACACTACGAGGAGAAATATTAATTAGGAATGAATTTCAAATATTTGAACTGAAAAAAAAAAACGATTTTCGAACATTAGTTCAACTCACACGACAGTCAAAAGTATCACAGTGTACACAATGAAAAAGTAATATTCCAACTATGTAAATTTCGTAAATTCCGTGAAGCATATTCCAGATAATGGTGATGCTTGTGGTTGAGTTCGGTTCCGAATGAGCCATCGCCATCAATATATTGTCTATAGTCTATAGACAAGCGCCATACACAAATATAATGTCTGCTCTTACTGAGCATATGGTACTTATTTATACATGAAATGAAATACGTCGCAGCAGCAGCAGCAACAGCAACAACATCACCAACCATAGGCTACATAAACACACGTCGTCTGAATGACGATCAGTGCGCTAATTATGGTGAAACAAATGTGAGCGATTTTTTAATTGGTCATCATCATTATTTGATTTAATTGCGCATGAAATTAGATTCCTTTATTTGTCGATGGAGATTTTGTGTACGTGATCCCATTTCTAGAGGAAATAGTGCACCAAAAATACGGGTAATTTCGTCTACGTATGAGTTTTGATAATTTCATCGAGAACAAATAATTTTATCAAGAACGTAATTGAATAAATCAATGGTGCTCCAATTTGAATAATGATGGCGCATCATTATCGAGCTTTCTGCCTTTTGCACTCATTACAAAATTCTATAATTATGGCATAAATCATGAAAATTTGACAATCACATTAGCATAAATGCAGTCAATCAACGGCGCGTCGCAGCTGTGAAGTTATGCAAATTTATGTTTGTCGCAGAGATTATTCGCGAAAAACGAGTTGAACGATTAAGCCGCGCTGGTATCAATTTTGCATTGTCTTCGGTACATATATGGTCTAGTAATCGTGTGCATCGAGGAAAGCAGATAAGTAGGGAAACTTAATTGATTGATGATAATGATCGCGTTGACTGCATAAGATTCGATTAAATTACGGCCAATGATAACATCGATTGCAGCGCAAATGTATATTATGCAGAGACTTTTTTTATGCTACGCGTTAATATGCCGGTGCGACGTTTATTTCCTTCTTTATGAATAGTGCGGAGTTTTTGTGAGTGATCATGCTGTAATTTGTAACCTATATATCTTGATGAGAAGTGACGTTGTCGCGCGTTGCATTGAAAAAGTTTCCGAACTCATTGATGTTGCTGGTTTCAAAACTCTGATGCCAGACGATAAAAATGGATGTAGCATAAACACACACGGAGACAAACAACCGGTTAAAATGTACACCAATACAATCAATATCAACGCAAATTCGCAATCAGATGATCAATTGATCATACCATTCACAGGCATTGGATGTACTCACTTCCACGTACTTAACGTTCTTAATAAATTCACTTCTTTTTTTTCCTTCCATTTTCATGCCATATGCAAGTTAAAGAAACGGAGAAGAAGAAAAAACAAGACGATTTATATAAACGAATTTTCTACTCGTGCATTCACACTGTACATATTTATGCATGCGTGTGCCGCATTCGTACGTGATTTATTTACCGTTCGGAATACCATTCGGTGCAGTGTGCGCGCAATGGCAACTATACTGCCATATGAATTAAATTCTTATTAAATGCATAAAACTAAATGCAGAGTCGAAATGCAACGGCCGCCATCCATTACAGTTTGCATTTGATCGTGGACGTGGATGGTCACTATTTGCTGAGTCGTCTGGAGTTTTTATGGATTTGCAGTTCTTCGATTCAGCGTAATTTGATCGTGTTGCATCGAAATGTTTAAGAATTTGGTGGTTATAGTGTTGATGGTCTATTTGGCCAAAGAGGTCGGTGCGCAGTTTTCGTTTGAGTTTATACAAGCGCCAATAACTGACACGGTGAAGTTCAATCATGAGTACGATTACATTATTATTGGGGCGGGATCAGGTTCGTCAACGATCTTTTTATTTCTTCAAAAATTCGCCAATGTGTCTGGTATTAAACTGGGAATGATTCTCTTGTTTTTGTTTTTGTTCAGGTGGTTGTGTAATGGCCAATAGGCTGAGTGAAAATCACGAGTGGAAAGTGTTACTCTTGGAAGTTGGTGATGAAGAAAGTGACTTTTTAACTGATGTTCCCTTAACGGCAGCAGTAACAGTTTTAACAAGTATATTTGGTTTATATTGTATCATTTTTCCTCTTCGTAAAGTGTTTAAAAATAACGTAACATTCGATTCGAATTCAAGGACACAATTGGGGATATCGGACGGAAAGGAATAAATATTCGTGCCTATATTTGGATGGAGGTGTGTGTTATTGGCCGAAGGGAAGAGCTTTGGGTGGAACCAGTGTTATAAATTATATGGTGTACAATCGTGGTCATCGCGATGACTACGATCGCTGGGCTCGAGCCGGAAACAAGGGATGGAGTTTTCGCGAAGTGTTGCCGTATTTTAAGAAAATGGAACGAATCGGAATCGAAGAGTTTAAATCGTCAAAATATCGTGGAAAGAAGGGCAATGTTGATGTTCAACATCCTGGCTACCACAGCAAATTATTGGACGCATTTCTCGATGCAGGCAAAGATTTGGGATATGAAGAAAATGATCCAAACGATGAAGAAATGTTGGGTTTTTCACAAATTCAAGCTACGACGCGCAGAGGAAGACGTTGGTCAGCCGCCAAAGCTTATTTGAGACCGATTAAAAAGCGGGCAAATCTCTTCGTATCGATGCGTAGCTGGGTAACTCGGATTCTTATCGATCCGAAAACAAAAGTAGCCTACGGCGTTGAATTCATCAAAAATCGGCAGCGATATCGTGTTAATGCTACCAAAGAAGTGATACTATCGGCAGGAGCTGTCGCATCACCTCAACTTCTGATGCTCTCAGGAGTTGGACCGGCAAAACACTTACAGAAACTTCAAATACCCGTCATTCAAAATTTAAGTGTTGGCTACAATCTACAGGATCATGTCGGTTTATCGGGATTGGCATTTTTGGTAAATGAACCGATCACAATAAGTGAAACCAGTGTACAAAGCATGAGTGCAATATTCAGTTATTACGTTCTTGGAAGAGGACCATTTACTCTACCCGGTAAGAAATTGTAATAAAATTAAAATATTTGTGTGATAAATGCCAATGAATTTTCTTTTAAATTTAGGTGGCGCTGAAGGCTTGGCTTTTGTCAAAACACCAAACTCTACTTTGGGTAATTTTTCATAGTCACTCTTTTTCCATGGAAAATGATATAATTTTGTTGATGAAAGAAAATGATTTAAAATTAATTTATTGCAGCCAAAGATTATCCTGACATCGAAATTGTATTGGGCGCTGGTGCTTTGAATGGAGATATGTCTGGATCAATGGCCAATATGTTAGGCATACCGAAGCCATTTGTAAAAGAAGTTTACGCTGATATCATGGGGAAAAATGCATTCAGTTTGGTACCAATAATAATGCGACCGAAGAGCCGGGGACGAATTCGTTTGAAGAGCACAAACCCATTTCAATGGCCCAGAATGGAAGCAAATTATTTAAGCCATCCTGATGATATTCAAACTCTGGTTGAAGGAGCAAAATTGGTAGGAATACTTTCCACATTTCCACAGACATTTGATTGAAATTTGGATTATTCATTCGTTCATTATTTTTCTTTGGTTACATTCACCAATTGAACTAATCAATAATATCAAAAGGTTCATAGGCTCGGCGAATCATCAAGTTTCCAACAATACGAAAGTAAATTAAATCGTCGACCATATTTGGGGTGTGAGAATTACGTTTTTGGTTCAAATGACTATTGGAAGTGTTGCATAAAGGGTTATACTTCATCGTTGCAGCATCAGGTATTGACTCGATCATCTTTATTAATGGATCTGTTAGAATAATAATAAAATCAATGAAACTACTTCTAGGCTGGTACATGCAAAATGGGACCTTCACATGATGCAAACGCTGTTGTGAATCCACATCTACAAGTATACGGTATCGATCGTCTGCGTGTAGTTGACGCCTCAATCAGTAAGTCATATTTTAAGCAATCAAATTGAATGAAAAATCGAACGAGAAAAAAAAAACTACAATACAAATTGTTCGATTTCAGTGCCCGATTTGCCAGCTGCACACACGAATGCGGTGGTTTTCATGATTGGTGAAAAAGCGGCTGATATGGTCAAAGAGACATGGTCGTGATTAATGTTACTCAATTCGAGTGCTATTTCGATTTAGAATTAATCATTTGTAAAAATAATTTCTTTCTTTCTACGATCGATATATGGTTTATTTTAAATGGCTGGTGTGTTTAACGCTTGTGAAATATACACACAGTCGTCGATGTTAAGTGAAAGAGAAAAATACTCACAGCACTCCAATCAGCTGAGTTCCAAATGACTGATTTCAATTATACGCCAAATATGTCTACTATTTATCCGTTACGAATGTTACCAAGTACATTGTGTGTTTTGTGTTTGCTGTTATTTTTTTCTCTTCTTCATAATGCAAACGCAGCGACGAAAGTATTTAAAATGTGTTCATGTTGTTATTGTTTATGAATTTTATAAATAAATTAATTGGAGATACGATTATAATAAAATAAAAATACAAAACAAACGTAGAAAATAAAACCAATTCAACTTTCTATCGATGAAATGTGGTCGAGTTTTATTAAATTCTTTTGCACAATGCTGATTTTGTAAGAATAGATTTGGTTATGGTTCTGTTGAACAACGTGCCAGCGCCAAATCTTTTGTAACATTCGTGTAAATGCAAAAAATGCGTATTTTCGATGTGTAATAGCTAGTATTAACCTTGGTGAACTGCATTTACATTTTCTTTTTTTGACGATGTGAAATATACAATTTTCCTACTAAAATGATACGTTGATGACCTCAAGCTGTTGGCTTATCAACTTAAACGGTTAAATTGAGCGGAACACCTCACATTAATACCGTCATTTTTCAATGGAATGATAATCACAATCAATATGATACACAAATCAATAATTTCCACGATCGGTGATTTTCACCGAATTTCCACGATCAGTGGAGCGAATTTGACTAACAGACAAATTGACTATAAACCTAAATTCATTTAATATAAGCACAATGTTTGTTTTTATTCTCTAGCAGTCGTAAAACTTATTCAATAACTTGTTTATATTCTAGCATGGTAGCCCTTAAAACACTGTTCGTTGACATAAATTAGCATAGTTTTGCACTAAACTAAAGCTTCACATCGAATTTCCAATCAATTCGAATTGACTAGCTCATGTATGTTTTGAACCAAGCATATAATCGCTATTTAAACACGCTATTCTGCCAATCTTCTTTTATCATGTCCGATGCCTTCTCTCCGATCATATAGGCTGCCGCATTTGTGTGGCCAGCAACGATTTGTGGCATTATCGATGAGTCAACGACTCGCAAGTTATTGATTCCGTAGACTTGGAGACGTGGATTAACTACTGCATCTGGATCCGAGGATGGCCCCATTTTACACGTTCCAACCTAAAATATAATTCAATATCAGTGAAGTGTTTATTTGTGAGATGGATGTTTATGTGAATATAATTTCCCCGGAATATCACAACTCTAAATCAACCTGATGTTGAAGACTTCCTGCGTGCCGTCGAATACAGCATTCCCAATATGGGTCGGAATCAAATTCTAAATGCTCACATCCCAAGAATGGTCGGGTGTTGAATTGAGTGTTCCATTTTGCAAAGGCTCGTGTATTTGCTATATTCAAGCACTGTTAATGAAATTGAAGAGATTAACACACTACAAATGTGATCTACAGCATTGTAAATTCTTTGCGCAAATCTCATTCGATCTATTGAAACTCAATTATAAATGTCAAATTCAATCAATTCATTCTTATTTACCGCACGCACACCCTTGATCAGTGTTTCCACATCACGTTGATCCGAGAAGAAATTTGGCATCATTCGTGGCCATTGAAATGGATTTCGGCTTTTTAGCATGATTCGTCCTCTTGAAAACGGCCTCAATAAAACTGGCACTAATCCAAAAGCCGGCTGAAATCGTTATTTCAAAGAATTTTCATTCGAACAACAATTTTCAAATTGAAACAAATTAAATAAGGTAAATGATAACCTTGCCAATGATATCTCTGTAAACTGTATGATAAAATTCATCAGTTATGCCAACCATGTTGCGCATAGCACCTGATATATCACCACTCAATCCGCCTGCACCAGCCACAATCTCGATATCTGGATAGTCAAATACTGACAAGAAGCCAAATGAAAATTAATTGCATTCCAAATGAATTCAATTTGATATTTAGCTACGAGAAAAAAAAGTAATTACCAAAGCTTGAATTTGACGTCTTAATGAACGCAAGGCCTTCTGCACCACCAGCTAGAAGTAATTGATTGAATTATTTTCTTATAAATAATGACCATTTGTACAGTAAAAGGTAGCTTGTAGTTTGCTGCATAAGAACTTACGTATTGTGAACGGTCCACTGCCCTTAAAAAAATAATCAAGCATATATCGCGGCTGTTGCACTGATGATTCACTCATTGTGATCTGCTGATTGACAATGAAATCCAAACCATTGACGACACTGTGATCTTGTAAATTAAATCCGACGCGTAAATCTTGAATAACTGGTATTCGCAACTCTTCTAAATGTTCGCGTGGTCCAATGCCACTGAGCATGAGCAGTTGAGGTGATGCAATCGGTCCCGCCGATAAAATAACTTCTTTGCGAGCATAAATGCGATACCTTTGACGATGTTTCAGAAATTCAACGCCATAAGCGACTTTGGTCTTTGGATCAATCAAAATTTTTACGACTCGTGAATGTTTTGAGATGTGAAGATTGGGCCGATGTTGTGCCGTTCGAAGGAAGGCTTTAGCAGCAGACCATCGACGACCGTTCCGTGTGTTGGCTTGTGTTTGTGAAAAGCCCAATAGGCTTTCGCCATTCGGATCATTTACAGTGTATCCATATTCTTTAGCCGATTTTAAAAATGTTTCCAAGACTTTTGTACGGAAACCCGCTTGTTGTACATCTAGATAACCCGATTGACCATGATACGGTGAATGGTAAAGTTTTGGAATGCCAATGCGTTCGGATTTTTTAAAGTATGGCAAAACGTCATCGTAGCTCCAGCCAATGTTTCCATTTTCAGCCCAGCCGTCAAAATCACGACGATGGCCACGTTGATATAGCATAAAATTTATGACAGATGTTCCACCCAATGCTTTACCTTTGGGCCAATTGCACACACCGCCTCGTAATCCCAAACAAGCCCCATGCACTGGATCGGTTCTGTATCCCCAATTGTATTCTGAGTTGAAAGAGAGAAGCTTAGCTTCATGTACGCATGGAAAAATAGGCAAGAACTTACTCGTCAATTGTGTAACGGATGGCGTCAATGGCACATCCGATATGAAATTCTCTTCACCACCGGCTTCCAGAATCAAAACACTGAAATGCGAGATTTCACTCAATCGATTCGCCACCACAGAACCACCTGATAATGAAAAGACGATTGGTTAGTAATTCGAAAATTATCGATATATATTCACAATTTGACCTACCAGAACCCGATCCAATCACAACGAAATCATACTCTTGCAAAAATGTATTGGTATCATGGATGCTTTCGTTGAAATTATTACTTCTCTGATAGATCACATCGAATATCGGTAAACGAAGCGGTCCAATCGAACCAATACCCAATGCGGAAAACTGATGCATACGAATGCATAGTAACAAGTATATGAGAATATCTCTGAAGCCACACACCAATCGCATTGTTTCGGTATTGTTACCGCATTGAGATTATGCAAGCCTAAATCAAAAGAGATAATTGCAAATTCTGTAATTATTGCGTCAATTTGACATTTGGTGCGTCCTCCTTAACTTCCAGTCGTTCCGTTTTCGTGTGATTTTCTGCTTTGGAACGACAAAATTCTCATTTTCTAATAACATAAATATCTCATTTAATTCCATCGCATTCAATTGTGGTCAGTGCATAATAATGTCAGTGAACATTGGTCAGCCGGTCACGCAACGCATGCGATTTGTGTGCGAACACACAGCACGGCACCGTGTACTGTACAACCGAAACTGTTAGAAGCACACACATAAAACGTGCCTTATCATTGGCTGCAAATGCATCCGAATGACTGTGCAATCAATTCCGAGCATATATATTGCTCAACGCATAGTAAAATAATTACTCGATACTCCGACAGAAAAATGAAAACAACACGCAAAAAAGTATCGTGCAGTTCTCGTGTAAATTTCACTATCGTTGGCAAATAAGGCGTTCGCATGTCCAGTATTTTTTTGCTCTTTATTCAGTTGATAGCCTTAACATCAATTCGAATGTCGAATGAAAGAGAGAAAGAGAGAGAGAGAGAGAGAGAGAACGGTCGCCGCAATCATCTTCCATGTGATCGGTGAATTGATTAATGAATGATATTCAAAACCCAGAACATTCGTACATGTATCACATGTTATTGCTGTGTGCAATATTGCTGTTGCTTCAACGAAATTACTACCATTTTTTATAACATTGAATATGAAAATGAAAAATATTCGCGGGTGGAACGAATGTTGAGAAACATACTTGAAACGTTTTTACTATTGCAAAGAAGTCCTCACATTTTGAAGCATAATTTTCAGTGGAAAAAATAAATTGTCCTATGTTTTTCATCTAAAAATGAGCATAGAATTTAAATGTGAACTTTTTGTGTGAAATTGCAGTTTCGATGCAGAACAGGTTTTTTAGCCGACGCGCCAAAAACTAGTTCATAGCTGACGTGTGTACACTGTGCAGTGTGCATGATGTCGTCAAGTTGTGCATGGTTTTTGTTTTCGTTCAATTGTGGTTGACATCACACCAGTTATTCAATATCAGCGCACATCGGGTTGAAATCAAATAATACGCGTTTTATTTCCCATTATTTACAGACACTATAAAAGTTTGCGAGACATGATCGCGCTCAGTGATTTGGATAATAATCGAAGATGCAAAGCTATTTGTTTAGGCCATGACTTATGGTCAATGGCAATTGTTCCAAAGTGAACGTCTTTCGACGCACTAAAATGCATGCGACGAAATTGAGATTTGAACTTGAATTTCACACTCTTATTATATCCAGTTTCACACTCTTATTACATTGATATATTTGGAAAAAAAAAATATTTCGGAAAATGTTCGCTACAATGTGAAACCAAAGCAATTAATTTGTGAGTAATAAAATACAGTAATTTTGGCTAAAAACATCGTCGAATTATTGTTTTTCGCGAGATTATTTTTGCGCTAGCGAAATGTCAACGTTGTTTCATTTATTGTACTGCAATTCGCGATGCTTTGCGTTGTGTTTAATTTCTCAAAGCATTTGGTGCACATCGAAAGTACGGTCTCGACGTAACAAATGTAAAAAGGCCATCATCATAAACGAAATACCGTTTATTTGCCATAAATCAACCAGCGAAATGCACTTAATGCAAAATTCCATGCCTTTCTTCTATCTTCTTTTGTCCTGTTTACAATATTCATCGATTTTATTATCGTCCGATGATGCTGTAACTGGCACCGCATAGACGATACATGCAATTTTGAGATGAAAGTGACAGTGCATCACGTGTAGCACAACAAAAAGGGAATTCAATGTGGCAATTTGTGGAATTAACAGTATCATCTCAGCTAAATTTACTAAAATTATGGATAATTTGGTCTTTGATTTTTTTCTCTTACAGTTCATGATGGCTGTAAGCGAGTTGCGTGTGCCACAGTCCAGTTTAAGTTCAATCAAAACCGGCGAACACGAAAAAAAAGTCGAACACCTTGACTTATTCGAAACCAAGCAACATTTCATAAGTTTACTTATTCTAACCGAAACCGATTTGACTTCAACGGATATTCTGATTCTGATCACGATTCGCATTTATTCGTAGTTTTGCTTTTATCCGACAAGTTTAAATGAATTCCTCACGATTGCCCGGCTAACTCTTCATTTTGAATCGTTGAGATGACTCCAAAGACATTTGTACGCATTAATTATTCTTTGCTCGTGTTTCAATAGCTTTTCAACCGTTGGCTTGTCACTTGTGTGCAATGCAATGTGCAGGTAAAAATATTTTCTCAATGCCATTTCGAATTGTATGTTCAAACGTTTGACGATGCATTCGCTGTATAGAGCGGTGCATTTGTTTATGACTCGACACAATTTGAACAGCCTATTTCTGGCGCTTCATTGGTTAGTACATGCAATTAGTTGCCAAAGTGACGTGCACAAGGTGCAAATATGCCCGACTTCAATCACACATAAATTCACTTTCAAATTGAACGGTCGATGTGAAAAATTACCTCGCATTTTTTGCTTTTGTTTGAACAATTTTATCACATTCTTGAGTTACAAGTGTGCTGACAAAGACATTCAACAACGATATGATTTAAATACGCGAAAATTTATTGAAATGGACTTGAATCAAAGTTGCTTATTCACTGCGCGCCATTGACCATCATTATCACCGTTGAATCATGTTTTCACGCTATTCAAATGATCGTTACAAATGAGCTCACAGTGCGCTGGAAACAGCAGATGCGGCCGCTGAAAATTCAATTAAATGATGCCTGAGTAAACCGGATCCCAATAAAATCGTTTCGAAATGCGCAGCCATTGCGAAATTAAAAAATATTGCACACATCGTGGTCACGTCACTTTCGGACAAGTTCAATGTTATTTGCCAAATCGCTCATAAATTATTCAAATGTCATTCAGAAAATAATCCACGTTGAATAAATATTTGGTTGAGCTGCGGCGTGGTGAGGCATTGTTTTGCTTTTTCCCACACCTTCTCAGAATGGAGACATCTAAAAAGTCAAAGACATTGATCCGCACCGACAGTTGACCACTCAAAAATCATGACAATTTCGGTAAATTCATGGGAACTTCATCCAAGTGGCTCTTGAACAACCTTTTTCATTAGAAGACAAATGAAGTCATTAGATGAGATTCATTTTGATTGAAAACTTCGCAATCCAAATTCATTAAATCGTTGCATCATTTTAAAATTGAATGATGAGTTCTAAAACCTAGTTAATTACACCGAATATAAGAATTGATTGAGTTTTATATTGTTGAAAAGTTTTCTTCTGACGCCATTTCACCTTACAAAGTGATTCTTTCAACAGTGCCCATCAAGGTTGCGCACCAATAAAATGCTTTCCATTTCACGAAGTTAATGGCCTGTACTGAAGTCAATATCGAATATATTCTCGTGGATCGTGACAAAAGCATCAGAATCATGAGGTTGAAATGATTATCATTAGCCCGGGGCTTTTTCTCCCACTTTTCTCAACCGAACGTTTTTATCAGTTTCAATTGAATTTGATTTGCATCGAAATATAAATCAATGCATATTCTAGAACAACGACCCCAATTCGCTAATCGACTGGTATTATCACCTATCTCATGCTTGATGATTAGTTCCCCCTTGATGATTAGTCGTATTTTTTGTCACGTGCATTGATTTAGATGCCATTTCTTCTTTCTTCTTAGGTGTAAAATTAATTATTGAATCAACATAATATTCGCATGCCGTGAACTGTGAATGAATCGAGAAAGAAAATCTAATAAAAATTAGTTTATTGGACACTATCAAATTATCATCTGATGAAGTAACCGCATATAAGTTAATTTGCAAATAATAAATTGCCTATGTTTTTGGCACAGATTTTCTTCGGCACACGTGAACTCGATATTCATGATATAGGCCGAAACACACTTTTTTTCCATTGATGAATAGAAAAACACTTTTATGTAACATCAACGAGAAAATAAATCAAACAAATAAAAAATCACACGAAAACAACAAACAACAGCTAAATTGAGCCATTTTTAGTTTCTCGCGATAGAATCAAAAGCCAAGGTTAAATCCCAACTGCTTCCAAATATTTTATATCATATTTGAGATGAAAAAGTAGACGACAAATTCTCGAGATCAAACGATGTTTATCTTTAGAATGCTATATTTTGTTCAAGGTGAAAAGAGCAACGTTTATTTATATTACTGCACAATACCAAATTCCGTTTTATCTAAACGCCTTCTTTTTCAATTTTTTTAAAAAATTATTCTCAGATTAGAACCACTACTTTCTTATTCTATGTCACTCCACACTTTGTTCAGCTGTTTCAAATTTTCTTGCTGTACTCAAAACCAAACTGAACGCGCCGACGATCCAATCACAAGTAATCACATACGAAAAGACAAACCAAAGCTGTGCGAGCGCCAAATCGATGCAAGAACCAACCAACCCAGCCACCGTGTATTTCAATCGACAAGCGAACCGAATACATTCAAAAAATTGGTGTTGGTACAAAACCATGAAAGTGACCGACCGCACGTCGGCTTGGCATTGCTTGAACGAGAATTTAATTCATATTTCTTTTCTCGTGTCTTTCCATCAATATTTCCTCTCGTATATGGGCTTGGGCACGCTTCAGCTATGTGTGCTGGTCTGAATATGTGTGTAAGTTTTTGCCTCGCTTGGAATACCAAAATAATTGAAATTTTTTTTTCACTGGATAAGACGACAAAAATTAGCTATGAAATAATAATCATTACTCTTGATGCCTCCACGAAGCGACTGCAATGTTATCGGAGATATAGTCGGTTAGGTAATCGCTATCACATAAAAAGCGGTAATAAAATGTATATCCTATTAATAAGTAGCCGCATTTAATGCACTCGTATGATACGAGTCGTATCCTCTTGAGTTTATACGGGTTACACATGAACATATATATATTTCAATAATCTTTTGGGAATTTTGGCTGCTGAGCGCAAGTCGATAGATAAATGTTCGTCGAGTTCTACTTCACTGCACAATTCAAAATGTGCATATATTCGAAATTTTGCGACAAAAACCGTAAAAAAGGCGGCAAATCGGCCTATGGATCTGGTGGAACTAAATTAATTGGAACAAATTTGAGAAAAGTGAATATTTCCTGGAAAAACGAAAAAGAAAATCGTAGGTAAAAATACAACCAAAGAAAATCAACAGTCATAATAATGAACCATATTGCGATACATTTTATCACATTTTGATCGCTTCGATCATTGAATCCGACGTATTATGTAAAGTCAATTAATTTGAGAATAAGACACTGAATCTAGGTAATTCGTTCCTCTTCACGTCACATACAAACCAAATAATCAGTTCTGTCTATACATTACACGCTTGGATTGGGCAATTTCTCTATGCCAAACTGGTGTTAGTTCAAATTTCAACGAGCTCCAAATCGGTGCGAGTACAAAGTGGTCAAATTGCTTAAAGCTTGTCAATAAATACACATAACATGTATAATTACCGTATTTGTTTGTGAAAAAGGAGCGATTTTTTTCGGGCTGTAATGAACACGTGAAGACATTTGGCGCTAACAAGCACACTCAATTGACGTGCAGCTTAATGACACCGAACGGAAATACGATGTACTTGTTCACACAAATTAAATAAGTTTCGATTGCAACGCTATTAAAATGCGAGCGGCGGACTGCAATTTCCTAAATATGGTCATAAACATTCAAAGCCTACAAGCGCGTAGCCACATGTGATTGGCGTTTCCAAGGTCGTCGCTGTGCTAAAGCATGGAATACATAACATTCTGGATGCTATTCAGTCACCGTCGAAGTGGACTTTCCGAATTTACTTTTAATTGGAATTTCACGACCTTTGTTGTGACAACTAATCGCGATCGATATATTTATTACTTCGGATTTCCAACGCAGCATTCATATCGTCTAACAACTTTTCAAAGCAGTAAATCTACATTTTACAGTTAATGAAATGTTGCTTTCAGACTCTGAATCTCAGAGCAGTCCACTCAAAATAGAGTTCTGTGATTAATACACACTTTTTTCAGACTCACTTGAGTATTTCGTTTGATTCGGTTTTTAATCAAAAATCGATGGTGTAATTTTTGATTGAAATTGATTACAGGTACCCTTTTTTCCATTCTAATAATATAAGATAAGAGTTATATTTTTGTTTTGTTAATTCTGTTCGAAATGTGTTTTCGATTGAAAAAAGTGTTTATTCAGTTCATATAGAAAAAATTCCCCAAAAAACAAACAGGCGCGAACCCAGAAGTCATTCATCATTTTACGACTAGCGTGTTTTTGCTTCTGTTTTTCTCATTGAAAACATTCTTTTGAAAGTTTCACCAAAACAATGTAAATCATCGAGTCGTTGAATAGAGGAAATGAGACTTTGATAGGAACACGTGTGATAGTAAACAAAATTTGGCTCAACAATTGACACAAAAAAAAAACGAAAACAAAACGTTTGTATCGTACACATGCTGTGATCAAATGAAGTAAACACGAACGGTCGATAACAAACGATAGCTAGGGGCACAGCTGATTTCCCCTTTCAACAATCAAAACATCCACGAATATCACACGGTGTGAATGTGAATCACATGTTTTGGTTTCAAATGTCGTTTCCCCTTTGATACCGTATCAACGATGCGACATGATGCCGCTTCAATACTTGAAATTCCACACATGCGATGCAAAAGATCATCGTCGTTATTTTCACCGCCAACGTGAAAGTTCACGGATTTTTTTCTTTATGCATTATTTTAATGCAAAGACGTCATTTGCCACAAAAAATAATGCATTCAACATAACATCATTCAAATCGTACATAAATGATTTGTGACGATTTCCCGTCTGAAATGCGCAATAAATGGAACAGATGTAGTCATATGAAAAATATGTATGTCAGTCATCGTTAACAAAGCTTTGCTGAATTATTTATTCTAAGCTATATTAATTCTCCATATGAATTCTATTGTCTATAGAATAGCTTGGCACGAACCCAAAGAATTTCATTTTTGACTTCGTACTTAATAATTACGAAGCTGATGAAAAACCTTCTCAGAAGGCCCTTCTGTTTACTTTGTATCGAATTGTTTTAGCTAATGAAGTTGGAAATTGCAGTAATCTTATCCATTTCGCGCATTCCGACTCAGAATGAAATGTGGTAGTAGATAAGGGAACTTTTTAATGATTATAATACAAATTTTTATGTTTGAAAAACTTTTTTTTGGCAAAAATAATAATTCCAAGTTTCTTTGAGCCACTTAAGCCGCCCCGATACGTAAAATGAGTCAAAACGTTTGTTTTTGCTGGCAAAGTGAATAACCTGAAGATGAAATGACACTTCCATGGAATTCATGGGAAGATTATGATTTGAAATAACACAGCTGATATTTCCCCAGAAAGAGAGCATCAAAGAAATTGTTCGCATACGTAAACCATGTGGAGTATGACGCATCGATTCCCCTCCGTCGGACGCAAGCTCCGCAAAGTCACAAAGCCGTCGTTGTCGTTTCATTGAGCGATTCTTACAACTTGTTTGGAGCATACGAGAAGAGCGTCGGTCGTTAAGTTCAGTCGATTGTCGACAGTTTTCAAAAGAGGTTCTGCTTTTCGTTCGCTTATTGAATTTGAATTTTGCGGTTATTTCATAAGACTATTGCCCTTTTGATTTCCTGTTTAGACTCAGTTACAGGTCACAGTGAAATTTCTGAAAAATATTCAAACAAACAAATTCAAACACCGACCATAAACGAGCAATTAAAAGCCGAGTTCATCCTCCATTAAAAAAAATAGAAAGTAAACACGAGCGCGCTATATTCGTTCCATATTAGTGTCATCAGAATTCATTGAACTTTGGATAAAGTTTTGCCAAAGCAGAATAGGAGACAAAACGCACATTACAGAAATAAGTGTGTGGGAAAATAAAAAAAAGATACTGAATGATTCAATACAAATTAGTATGGTGATTGTTGAAAATTAGAACTTTGGCCAATGTAAAAAGAAGGGTTTTGTGAGTAAGAAGTGAAAACTGAAGAGCAGAGTACAGGCTCATAGAATAAAGAGGCTGAAAAGTCAACGAGAAGCTATCAGATTGCATAGAAAAGTATATTCGCACGTATCGTGATTTTCGGCCGTGTCATTCACCGCATTTTGAGATTCAAGTGTCTCATTTTCACTGAACCAAAAACCGTTTGTTGTAAGTATTTTCAATAAAAAAATTTCTTCTCAGCTCGTTTCCTCAAATAATAAACACTCCATTCGCGTAGAGTTAAGCGTTGAAATTCAATGAACAATCGAAAAATGTGTCGCCAAATTTGTTGTCATTTGAAAAGAGTTAATATAAACAAACGAAAAAATAAAATGTCCCATGTACTGCTCAGTGCAATCAGTTTTTTTTCTCTTGTTCACGGAACTCTTATGACCGAATCGCATCGTCAACGGGAAAGAAAGAATAAAAAAAAACGTATTATGCAATACTTTCGCTTTCAAACACAGATTGCACGAGTTCAGATTGCAAAGCTGTTAAGTGGCTACATTATAGATTGGAAAAAAAGTATAGTAAAAAGGCTAAAGGCTTCGTTAAACGATTTACATATGGATTTCGAAATTATTTCTATGTTTATAATTAACACACGCGCTCCGACGACGACGACGACAACAACAACAACAACAAAAGAGAATCCTATCGTCTATAGTGTTATATATGGTATATACATAGGTTTATTAAGAACGCACATGCCATGCGAGAGAGAGAGAGAGAGAGAGAGAGAGTGACGAATTGTGAGTTTTATGATTTCAAAACACGGTACACACGAAAACGCTTTTTCATCAAACCAACCGGCAATAGCGAAGCGATTTCATATATGTAGACGAAAAAAAGTGAGCAAGATCGATCAAGGGAAAGAGAAGGAGAGCGTGGTGCGACGAGAGCGGTGCTGTTACAATTGAATGCCAAGATAGCCAGAGTAAGCGTGCCGCTCGTTGCTCCGTCGCCGATTGAGGCTGTGGTGTTGAGTACAGTCATGTGTGTGGACTCATAGCATTATACAGAGCAGCAGCAGCATTGAGTAGGTGACACAAAGCCGGAAAAAAAGAGAAAGAGAGTATGTATGCGTGAAGCGTCTGAAATATACATGCCATACTAACAATTCCAACGCGAACCGTCTCACCAATGTTTTTTTTCCTCTCTACGAACCCGGCACGTGTTGTAGCTTTTTTGTTGTTGGCGCTCGTGTGTTATACATTCGCGTCGTGTGTTTTATTTTTTCGTTTCGTTCGTTGCTTTTGTGTTAGTTCATCGTTTTGATGAAAATTTAGCACGAGCATTGTTTCTGCTATTATTCGAAATGGTTTGTTCGCCGTAAGTGTGCCGTCGGATTGCGGATGTGAGGATTGTTCGTCGTGTGTTATTTTCTTGTTGCTGTGCATTATACTTGTCGTAATTCCAATGAAGCATTTTGTATGATTTTCAAATTGGTTTTTTGAAACAAAAAAGAAGAAAAGAAAAAATTTAACACATGTTAACATGTTCTTTACTGAGAATTAGCCTAATCTTAATTTGAAACTCCTAAATAAACAGTGGTTTGATAACGTGATTGGCGCATTTATGTTACCGTCTATCTAAATCGATTTAATGACTTACATTTACATTATCGGCAAGGGATTTTTTTACGTAAATTCAATAAATACCGGCTAATTATCCTCGTGCCATTCAAAAGCATTGCTTCTTCTCTGCTTTTATTTCACTCCTCGAGTGTTCTAGCTCTTTTTCCGGGAATTGTTCGGGTTGTTTCCAAATATTTGATGACTTGAACAAATACGATAGACACACCTGCCGTGGATTAGATCATACTCATTTGGCATAGACAACATTTCAAACTGCGTTCGTGCCATTTAATTATATACCCGACAATAATTGGCATAGATTGAATCGAACGCATCGACACGTGATAAATTATTGATCGATAACAGCGTAATTTAAGGCTTTTCTGTTTAGACACGCTTTGTTTGCATTTGACGATAATGTTGGTAATTGGCGCGGGTTGACTTCTCCAAGAGATTGCACGCGATATCGGTTGAAGACGCATATTTGGCACATTCATACTGAATTCTTTTTTTTTTCGAGATTCTATGGAATGAGACATGGTTTGTTGCTGAGTTGGTCTTGTGCTTGAGAATTATTTTATATTATATTTATTCTTTGAATGGAACAATCCATTTTCAATACAGTCTAGTGTAACATCTTCTTCAAAACATAATTCTGGACACAAGTGACTTTTATTAATGATTGACCACATACAAGTAGGAGTACGCTGCAGTTCACAAAATCTTCAAACAAAGCACAAAGACCACAATTAGTTTCGATTGTTCATAAAAGACACAGTTAGACGATTTTGAATCATCAAAATTTACGTATCGAATGGGTCCTAAGTTCAGTTGAAATGTGCAACTCACATTCGCTCTTGATAATCTGCTGTTCCCATGCATACTGCAAATGTTTGTAGCGTGCAATTATTGCACACAGAACAATGTCGCTGGAATATGCTCCAAGCGAAAGCGTCTGAGACTGATAAGAGATGCAAAAGTTATCAAAACGTTGATATTCCTTTATCAAGTCAAACAAAAAAAAAACATTAAAAATAACACAAACGAAATGTAACACTTTATTACGAAAATAACACACCCACGTCAGATATCATTACAATTACAAGCTGTTCAAATTACTTCGTTCGGTGTAATTAGGACAGTTAGCACTAAATAAACAAGCACTAATTGGACAATTTGCGCAAAAAGCGCAATTTTGAAGATTTCTTGGAATTTCGCAAATGAACTGTAAATATTTTATTCATTTTTTTGGTTTCAATACTCAAAAAAGTTTGTTGAAGTATTATTCCTTCCTTATGCAAACATTGTTTTGTTTACAAAATACACTCCCTCATTCATTTCCCAAGACATTTTGATACATTCAACGAACCTTTGTTTCGCTTCGTCGTTCATTTTCGGATCGTATCCACATTTGGAAAGATAATATCTTAGTTATTTAAGCTGATAATTGAAATTATTCAGCGACAAAAAAATGAAAAATGTTAGCGTCTCGGATTTTTTTTTTTGCTAAAGCGAACCACAGAAGAGATACGCGATGTGCCGCTTCTCGAGAAGAATGAACAATTATTATTGGATTTTCCTAACTTTGCAATCGGGTCCAACATCCTGAAAACGTTTCGTATATGCAAACTTGTATCCAAAATTATAAATGTGCTGTTCTAACTTGTGTTCCCCGTTGTCACGTGGTGGAAAAATGAGTGGATGCATTCCGTGTTTGGGCTGAGTGTATACATGCCTTAAATTCGTGTGTAAAGTGTCATCATTTCGAAGACAATATTACGAATGCTATTTGCTTTTGAAAAGTTGTCACCAAATACCTTGAACAACTTGAAATATGTGCATTTTTTGGTATACCAAACTCGTAATACACCGTAATTTGAGTAAAGAATGTCCTACATCAAACGCTCTCAAGTGTGTCACCTTACAACATTACTATGTATAAACGTGGAAATATAGCGAACAACAAATTGATAGATTTTGAACATTGGCAACGGTTTGAATTTCTCAATCCAATGATCTCAAATTGCCACGTTTCGTAGAAAATCAGCGGAGTAGACAACCACGTTGGAATTCACGACACTGTCATCGATAATCGACAAGGCATCACTTATTTTCGTTTAATTCTATTCGATTCTTGTGATTTTGATTGAGAGGCAAGGGTCAAAACGACGAAAATTGTACCACCTTTGTGCGGATCGATGTGAATCATTTATCGATTTTTCAAGAATCCTGTGTTTGATTCATTCAAGATCCGGGAATTTTTGATTGAGTTCTTGTAGACAATACATATAAAATTGGTGCCTTTTGAGTTAAAATATGTAGTTGTATGTCGTGATTCATCTCGGTTTAAAACAATTCGGAATACAATCATTTTAAACCAAACCATTGTCCGCTATCACATCCATGTGTTGTATATTTAGATGTTCTGAATCAGAGCAATGTTTTTTTCTCGTCCAATGAACCCAATTATATCACCGCCTTTGCACTAGTGAATATAAAATATAAATATCTTGACATTCAAAAAACTGCGAGTTGTTTCATCAAAACAACTGCGTACACAGAAAAGAGAAGTTTGTTTGTTTGGCTTAATGAAGACGCTAGTCTTGGAATAACACGTTTAGACAAGCGCATCTCGCTACGATCCATGACATAACATCCAATATCATATGGAATATTTTGAAGACATGCAAATAAGTCGAAGTTGGAAATTTCCTTTAAATCGAGCCCTTTAAACGTAAAGATATTAGTCGGTGGCAATTCAGTAAGGCTTAAAAATGATGTCGATGTCATAAGCTATTGTAATTTCCCACTTGGACGTAAACAATTGATTAGAAAGAAGCAGGTATCACGTTTATAATTCATGCATTCAGCATCTGCGAACAATGGAAATGATTGGTTGTTCTCGCTTTGCTTCATTGCAAATATAAAATATTATTACTCTCCCATTATTATCGCACACATGTGCGCAGAATGCAAAGAATTGATCAAATACGTAGTGCAACCGTTGTATAACTCAGAAGTTTTATTCCGTAATTACCCTGAACTTGAGTATAGAATGAAAAAAATTGACTTAATTGTCTGATAAATGTGGATAATTCATTGGATCAATTACACAGGCACACATTGATTGGGAAAAATGTCCACCTTCCTCAGTAGGGGCGCATCTCAATTTTCTTCACATGTTGTGGCTGACATGGATTTGTGTGTGTAGAAGCACGGGTTGGCATTGTTTGTTGCGTCGCATTCGTCATTCGTTGATGACTGAATTGTGCACGAGTACAGCCACAGGTAATAAGTACAGGAATAAAAACACGTATTCTTTTCCGTGCTTCAAATAGAATTTATAAACGGTATTAATGAAACGTAAGCCGACACATTTTCTGCTCATTTCGAATTTCATTGCTCACAGACGCTTCACACACGTGCACCTTATTACAATTTGTCTACTATTTTGAGATTTATTTACGTCTTTGTGAATTGAACGGTGGGGCTTTTGATTCTCGTTCATTCTAAACGAGCCTCATAACATTTTAATCATGACAACGTGTATTGTCATGGGGGTATGATAACGTGTATTGTCATGGGGCAAAA